TTTTACTAAGTTTTTGCTGGTTCATCAAACAGAATGGTTTGTACTGTCGTTGCTTGATTGTCCATTTTTTATGCTTTGATTTTGTAACTTGAACAACTACTTCTAAGATAACAATATGTAATTTATCAGATAGTGATTTCTTACTGTTTTTTGACTAGTTATTTCTTACTGTTATTTTTTGAAATTCTTATTATTTCTACCCCTTTTTTGCTTTTTCTCTAAATAAAAAAGTTTAGAAAGTTGTTTGCTATTACAGAATAATGATGTTAAAAAGAAAACTTTACCTGCTGTCTTGTGTATTGGTCAGTAGTGTGTTATTTAGTTTTTTGTCACTGACAAAAAAAAATTTAATTTGCTCCCAGGCTTGGAGTTTCCAGCCCACCACTAGGCAGACCATTGCTTTGGCATCTTGCTAGTGATGCTGGATGGTGCGGCAGGGGGAGAAAACTGCCCATGTCATGGCCAGGATGCAAAAAAAGAAGAACACAGGTTCATCCCCCAAACCAAGAGCACATCCCCTAAAGACTTAAAAACTGCACCTCCTAAAGATTCACTTCCTAATAGCACCAATCCAGGGACCAAGCGTTCAACCCAGGGATCTTTGGGATCTTCACCATCTAAACCAATATCTATATTTTTTTAAGAATTGATGAGAATTTATTTTTGGTGCAATGATGCTTCCACTTAAAAACCAAAAGTGTTATGTGTAAATTTTGACTAAAATGCTTTTCGTGCACATTTGTGGCACTTGATGAATCCTTCTGGTGGGCATCTATGCAACTGCATCTTTTGGGAGTAACAACACTTCATTAAAGAACATTTGGAGCCAGCTGGGGTGGCATATGCCTATAATTCCAGCAGCCTGGGAGGCTGAGGCAGGTGGATCCTGGTGGATCAGCACTGTGTGGGCAAATTAGAAAAATCCTGTCTATAAAGTAAAAAATAAAAGGGGCTGGGGATTTAGCTCAGCGGCATAAGCACCTGCCTTGCAAGCAGGCAGTCGTGAGTTCGATCCCTGGTACCGATAAAAAGGGAAAAAGACAAAAAAAAAAAAAAAAAAACCCAAAGTAAAAAATAAAAAAGCCTAAGGATGTGTCTCAGTGCAAAGGATTCTTTTTCCTTACACATACACACTCGTAATAATAATCAAATAAAATAAAGAATATTTCCACCCAAATCCTACACATGATATTTAGGAACTAGCCACAGGGTAAAGGAACACAAAAAACTTTGTAAACAAGATCCTCATTCTTGGGGTGCACAGAATTGTCTATGAAAGGATGTCTGATAGGGCTTTATCCCTTCTGAAAAGGGCATATATTACCCATTTTGCCACATTTTACTTCAAAAAGCATCTTCTCTGTTTTCTATGGCTGCATTTTACCAGGATCAAGTTGTCAGCAAACTGACTCTTGCTTATTCTTTGGTTCAACACAATAATTGTCATGCAAAGAAAAGTTCCTAAAGACAGAATCTTGCTTTACCTGTATTGCTGTCAATATAAAGCACACAGGATGACTGAGGTTCCCCAGGGGGTTACCAGATGGTTTTCTGGGAGAGGTAATAAACAAAACTGAGCCAGCACACGGAAGCTTAGGACAGGCGCTCCAGAAGTTAGGTGATTCACAGTGAGGGCGAGAGCAAGAAATCGCTGTGCTTATTAGGAAGATGTCAGGCAGGCAAAGCAGTGCATTCTGTAGGTGCATTCCCAGCGACTGAGGGCCAGGGTGAATGTGGTCTTGCATACTGGGTGTGGTAAGTGTATTTTTATTCTTCCAGTAAAAGACAGTGTCAGTTTGTGAGAAAGATGCTGCCTCCGTAGACCAAAGAGCATCTTACTGAAAACAAGGAGTTAGGCTGGAGGTTTTGCACCTGACCTCCACATAGATATTACCAGGGGATGCTACCCTAGTAAAAGTGAGCACAGGCTAATTCCCAGGCAGAGCCAGCCACTTACCCTCATTGTTAAAAACAAAACAAAACAGGACAGTTCTCACTGCAGAATGAGACAGGACCACAACACGGGGTAGGGGGAAGGTAACCTTTGCCTCTGGATAAAGCAAAGACAAGTTTAGAAGTGCAATTTTGAAGGTTATCTACTGAAGGAAACTAAGGAACTCATAAGGCATTTTGATTTTTAACCATAATTAATAATTCTAAAGTCCCAGGGGAGGTGTGACAGATACAACAACAGTCGATTTCTTTCCAGCCAACATGACTAACAGACACTTCATCTAGGTCCAAACAAGGAAATACCACATAAGAGAGTTTGAATTGTTTTTGGTTTAAAACATTTGAAATCTAGATCAATCTAAAAGAAGTTGTCAGGTTAGAGAAACAAAACCAGACATAAAGGTCCTAGGGGTTGATACAGGATGAAACAGAAAGGAGCATGAGGGCAGGAGCTAAGAGGAGAACTGGGCTTGGAAGGGGGGCCTGGGGTTACGCTGGCCACATCCACATGTGTTCACATGCTGCAGACTGAAAGCTGAGGGTTCAGCTTCCAGCTCACAGGCAGTGGGAAGGGCCTCTAGAAATATATCACTACATGTAAATACATGGGGATCTGTTTCAGAAATGGAACTAGGGTCCCCCGTAACTTCCACATTCCATTAGGGAAGGGAAGGAAACCTCAGCACCCTCATGGAATTCTCTGTGGATAAAAAAGTCATCAAGTGAAAAAAAAATTATTCTTCTTCTGCTCGCCACAATACTGCTCATCATCAGAATACGTCACACACACACACACACACGTGTGCCATCCAGTTCTCCTTTTCCCCAGCCTTCAACTGGCACCCAAAAATTCAGCTGTGACACTATTTTGAGTTATACAGACCCCACAGGGTAAGGGCTCAGTCCTAAAGGACCTTCCCCTGCTTCAAATACTGAATTCGACTACAAGGCTCCAAGGTTATCCACACTTACATCCAGTTTAGCTCAACAGTCTCTTCTTAGGTTAGATAGTTTGCTAGACTAGCTCACAGAACTCTGGGCAGTATTTCCATGTGAGTGGTGGGTGTGATAAATGACACACATGAACAGCCATATGCAAAACTTCTAGTGTGGAAATTGCTTTCCTGTGGAGTTGTGTGTGGCTTTCTGATCCAGTACTGTCTTTGTCAAGCTAGAAGTTCTGCACCCATAGTTAAAGGATTTTATGGATCCTTCATCATGTAGGCAGGTTGATTTTAAAAATAAATGTCTAATCCTTCTACTTTCCATAAGTAAGAGGAGGAGGCTGGAAACTCCGAGCTCCTAATCATGTCTTGGTGTTCCTGGTGACCAGTGCCTGTCCTGAAGCTGAGTGCACACAGTAGCTTCATCAGAAGAGAAGGTTCCTCTATTACCCAGGAAATTTCAAATAACTTAGTAGCTCTGTGTCTGGACCTGAGGCCAAAGATCAAATAGTAAAATAGAAGATGTTCTTAGCACCTCTACCACTTAAAAAATTTTAGGAGCTCTATGCCAGGACCTGGGGTGGAAATCAAATATATTTCTTATAATGCAGTGTCACAGTGCTAAATTCAGGTCTCAGAGTTATGCCATCCATAGACATGTTTGGGTTTTCTAGTTTTCCATATGAAATAGGAGAGCTAAACTGAGAAATTAACATACAACTGGCACCTGGGCCACTGATGGGGCCTTGGAAAGATAGAGAAAGTAGATACACTTCCACAGACCTGATACAGAACCTCACACAGACACAATCACAAGTCAGCTCACAGTCCAAACCACAAAGGGGCACCAGGAGGGAGAGCCTGCCAATCAATCAATGAGTCAAAAGTCACAGTAGGGGTGGGTGCAAAGGGTGGAACTCACAGGAACTCACAGGAGCCCTTAGAAATGGTTAATTTTTTCCACTATTATTTTTAACCTCACTGGCTGGTTTAAAAGCTACTTTAAAAATATTCTTGTAAACCGGGTGTGGTGGCTCATGCCTGTTATTCCATCACTCGGAAGGCTGAGGAGAAGGATCATTGCAAGTTCAAAACCAGCCAAGTCTACAAAGTGAGCTCAAGGCCAGCCTGAACTGCATAGAGAGACTCTGTCTCAAAAAGTCAAAAAATAAATATTCCTGGCATAAATTCTACCAATAAGATAGTTAGTGAAACAAAAAAGGCACTCCTGCTAACGGCCTAAAAGTCAGAGACTGTCTGGAAGAACTGTGCCAGGTTAGAGAGGCCACATCAACCAAAAGTAGCTCGGGGCCTATGCCCACCCTGGGCCAGGAAAAGGGACAGTGGCCGGACCAAGCAGTAGCAAGGTCTGTGCTTGATTCAGCGCGGCCTGTGTGGTTGCGCTCTAGTTCCTCGATCACAGTCCCGGCTAGCGGAGCTGAGGGGAGGGTGGGTGGGAATGCTGCGCACTGTTTTGGCAACATATTCATAGGCGCAAAATTCTAAATAGTTTAAAAAACAAAAGGAGATCTGGAAGTCCACCTTCTAGGAGAGAGGAGAGTGAAGGGGGAGGGGGAAGACCAGGGTCCGAGGTGAATTAGAAGTCTTCTGTTCAGAGATTTTGTTTTGTTTTGTTTTTGGTAGTGGGGATTGAGCCCCAGCCTTTGTGGCACTGAGCTATATCACCTGTTCTTTTATTTTAAAAAAATATGTTATATATAATATTATAGATCGATTGATCGATCAATCGATAGATAGATAGACTTTTATTTTCCTGGATTACACTGTTTTTCAGATGTTGCCCAGGCCGAGTTCAAACGTGAGCTGTCTGCCTCAGCCTCCCACAGTGCTGGAATTCCAGACCAGCATACCACATGCAGACTAAATACCTTGTTCTTGTTTGCAAAGCAAGGAAGATCTCAGAGCCCACTTAATAGAGAGATAGTCGACCTAAGCACAAGAAACAGAAGAGCCTGGGGGGAAACCGCGGCAGAGTTGGGAACACTAGTTTGTCCCTTCCTTGGAGCAGGGCGAAAAAGGCGTCCCTGCCTGGAACAGGAGCCGGGACCTCGGGACCTCGCGACCTCGCGGGGAGGGGAGGTCCACAGGGGCTCGCGTTGGAAACGTTGGCGCCCTGGACCTTCCTGAGGCCTGCGTCCCTCTCATCCTCTTTACATCCACCATTGAGGGGCCACAGGTCAGCAGGAGCCCGTGGTCCTCAACCCATGGCTGAGGTGATGCTGGAGCCCTGAGCATCTCTTTTGGTCAAGTGTCCCAAGGTGAGCGCAGGGTCCATTTCCTGGGAGTCTCCAGAACTTTATTAGGGGGGTCACGTCCCGGGGTCTTTCCTTGTTTTAGCCCAGTGCCTCTTGTCACGTCAAAATGCCCTAAAGACGTGGAAGGAGTCTCTGTCTCATGCCTGGAATATGTGGTCCTTCAAAAAGCATCCTAAACATTAAGCATCTTTGGAGACAGAGCTGGACAATTAATCTGTGTGCAAATGCAGGTGTTGGAAACTCTCCATTCCCCTTCAGAAGAAAACACAACGTGATGTAAGCAGCCCAGAGCTGCTGATTGCTTCCCTTCTCCAGGCTTGCTGGGAGGGTAAGATGGGTTGACAGTTGTGAGGACCCCACACTGCCCAGAAGATAAAGAGCTGCCTGTGAATTGAGTCCTCTCTCTAGTAAGCCTGCAGCATCTGATATTTGGAAAAGAGATAACTTTCAGTGCATGAAGAGGCTGTTCAAATGTAGAAAAACATGACTCAAATTTCCTCAGAATGATTTGCATTTTTCTTTTTTTCTGTGAGTGCAGATACATGGCGAGCAAAAAGCGAGGTGAAGTGCAGTTACAGGTGAGTTGGACACATCACACGTGGCGTCTGGTGTCCTGACAGTTAGAGACCTTTCACAGCAGCTGTGTCTTAGTTATTTTCCTCATTGATGGGGTAAAATTCCTAACTCCAAAGTGAAAGGAGGGAAAGTTTATTTGGCTCACAGTTTGTAGAGGTTCAGTTCATAATCAGCTGGCTCCAAGGCAGGGAAATACAGCACCAGAACACGACAGAGGAGAAACAGTCCATGGTAAGGCAGGCAAGCAGCAAGCAGGAAGCAGCAAAGCTTTATTCCTTCTTTATACCTTGTAGATCACCCAGACTATACACCTATTGATTGGTACCACCATGTCCAGAATGAGGCTTCCATTATTCACACCTAGAACTGCACAAAATCCAATTAATTATCACACACCCTTAAGGCCAGTATCACAACCCTAGATCCAGCCCTCTCTGAGAAGAGCCAAGCATGAGGTTTTAAGGGGACATCTAGACACAAGCCATAGCATCTTGTTTTTTGCAGACTGTCATCAACAGTCAAACCTTATGGGACGAGATGCTGCAGAACAAAGGCTTAACAGGTACTGGGTCCCATTGTCCCAGGTCACTTCAAGACACCCTACAAAGTAACGCCTCTCCCTTACCCCCCCCCCAACCTAAAGTCCTGTTCTCTTGGCCCTGGTCTCTGCCCAAGCTGGGGTCATGCTGTGTCTAGGTTCTGTGCCTCTGGTTTTTCATGAGTTCTGTTATTATCTAGTGATTGATGTTTACCAAGCCTGGTGTGGACCCTGCAAAGCCATGCAACCTTTGTTCAGAAAACTGAAAAATGAAATAAATGAAGATGAAATTCTGCATTTTGCTGTTGTAAGGATTGCCTTTTCATTGAACTATTGTTTCGTTGTTACAGTGTTGAAACATCTGCTAATACTTTATTGTCTTCCTTCGAACAACCTGTTAATTCCTCAGCATAGATTGTCTGCTTGACAGTTAAGTTTATCTGAATCTTACAGTGTTGGGGTTACTCACACTGATTTCAGACCTTAAAAAATTATGAAAATGGATCCACATCTATTAACCTGCTTGTTTTCACCTGATCATATGCTTAATGTGTGCCCGCTAGCATTGGGCCTGCAAAAGCTGTTTTGAGGGTCTCACAGAGTAGCCCCCTGAACATTTATGTTACCAAATTTTAAAATGATAATGATTTCCCCATAACTATTGATTACCCAGATGTGATAATAGGTTAAATTGTTGCAGCCAGACTTATTTGACTTAAATACATTGATTATTCAATGTATCCATAACAAAGTGTCAGCTGGTTAGGTCTTTTTTGTCTAATATGGTGGCTGCCAGACATAAATAACTAGGCAATACTTATGTGGCTAGACCAACAGAGAAACCAACTTTTCATTTTAGTAATTTAAATGTAAAATAGGTAATTATAGTAAAGCTCTTAAAGTTTGGGACAGTGTGAATCCACTTTTTTGTTGAAAAAATCTTTAAACATCAATAACTAGTTATGAATTAAAAGTCAGTAAAAAGATATGTTCTTAGTGTAAAATATAACTATATTTTAATATGTGATGTGTAAAAAGAATGTGAATTAGACCATTAATTTTTACATTGATTACATGTTGAAGTGATAGTATTTGGGATGCAATGGGTTAAGGAAAATATATCATTCCTTTATTTCCTCCTGTTTCTTGTGTGTTTTTACGTGTGGCTACTAGAGAACTTAAAAATATGAGACTCAACTGGTTCAATTGTTTCTCTCCTACTGAAGCAGACCCAAGCCCACTAAAACCTAGAATGAAGGAGGATATAATGGATTTGTCATATTATGACTCATTTCTAAAACACATCGTCCATAAAGCTGACTGCAACTTCAGTCCATGTGCGCTCTGAGCACGGGTCTCCCACACCCCTCAGTGCAGACCTTGGATGAGTTTGCCAGCTAATCTTGTGTTTGACCCTCTGCTCCCTTTTGCAAACATGTTTGCTATGGGACTTTGTTTCCTTAATTTAAGATTACAATATACATCCTAAAGCCTAGAATCTCTTCTTTACTATTTTTCTGTTTAAAAGGATATGTTAGTCAGTTTTTTTGGCACTGTCACAAAATACCCAACATCCAGAACTAAAAGAGAAGAGATATATTTTGGCTCATGGTTCCAGGCTATAGTTAGTTGGCTCCAATCAGAAAGGGCATAGAAGAAGGGTCTGGAGGAGAACTATTTATATGATGGCTGCCAGGAAGCCAAGAGAGACAGAGGAGCCAGGGACTAGAATACACTCTTTCAGGCCACTTCCCCAGTGACCATCTCCAACCAGGTCCTGCCTCCCATGACACATTTATCTATGAACATTGTATAGTGGAGGCATACAGTAGGTGACCTGCTCTGACTGATTGCCTTCACTCAATAACATGCATTTAAGTTTCTTTTTATGTCCAGATAAGGGGCTGCTAAATAACTGTCCCTTGTCTGGACATATCTCAAATTTTTTCTTTATTTACCATCTGAAGAACGTCTTTGTTGCTTCTAAATTAGAATAAAGCTATAGACATCTGCTCACAGATTTTTGTCTGGACATAAATTTTCAGCCTAATTTGGGTAAATACTAAGGATTGCTGGATCATATGGTAAAACTATGCTCCATTTATAAGAAATTGAAACTGTCTTCGAAAGTGGCTATACTATTTTATTTCCTTAATCAGTAGTGAATAGAGGAATTGCTTGTTCTATATCCTGGCCAATGTTTGGTGTAGTCTGGGCTCTGAATTTTGGGCATTTTAACAAGTATGTAATAATATCTTGTTTTATGTTGTGTTTCTTTGATGACATGTTGTGTGGGGTATCTTTCTAAACATTTATTTGCCATTTATGTATCTTTTTTATTAAGGTGTCTGTTAATATTTCTGGCCCATTTTAAAATTGGACTATTTGGGTTTTTTATTGTTGACTTTAAAATTTTGTTGTATGTTTTGAATACTACTACTTTGTCAGGTACATCTTTCAGAAATATTTTCTTCCAGTCTATGGCTGATTTTATTTTTTCAAAGTTTTTTGAAAGGCATGATTCTGTAATAAGCTGCTTCATCCTGAGGAATCAGCCCCATCTGATAGGATGTGATTGCAGGTTTGATTCTTGGTAGGGAGGATAAAGTAGATTTCCACAGGCAGTTGACAAAGATTTGGTACAAGAAGTGAAAAGACAACTTTAGAAGTGTCTGACAACTGAAAACAGCATCACAGAGAATCAAAGATCAGAAAAATTTTGTGGAGTCTAATATTCCCATGCCTTTGGCATCTAATAATTTTCGTGGGCTTTTTTCCTGTTTAAAGAATAAAATTCTTGTGCATTCTGATAAGTGGGATCAGAGAAGTTTGTCTGAAGTGGGCAAGGGTCCAAGTTCACACATTAGGGATCAAGGGAATTGTCAATGTCCAACATGAAATTGGAGTCTGTACTAGTTAATATAGAGGGTCAACATGATTACCTTTGGAACTGCCTGGGTATTGCTGAAGCTCCCTTCTGAGTGTGTCTGAGTGGATGACTGTCTTAGTTACTTTTACTCGTTGCTGAGACAAAATACCTGAATCCCAAGTTGGGAAAGGAAAGATTTATTTCTTACAGTTTTTGGAAGTCTCAGTCCACATTCGGTTGGCTCAAAGGCAGGTGGGCATGACTGGGCCGCAGATCATGGTAGCTGCAAATAACAAGCAGGAACCAGCAAAGAGCAAGACACACCTTCTTCCTGCCATGGCACTAATTCTGGCCCCACCCCTTTGTGCGTGGAGCACTGACACCATCAATCCAAGCACTAGACAATGAACCAATCACAAACGCACAATGCAAACTCATGAGACCTGGAGGACACAGACATAAACCATGACAGTGACAATGGCATGACATTGCAGTCTGTATCTGGTCGCTTGCCCATTCCTTCTTTTCTGGCACTGTCCCTCTGCTCTGCTTCCTGGCCACCATGAAGAAAGCATCTTTGCTCCATCACACCCTTTGACCCTCATGCTCCTAGCTTGGAGACAGCTCACCATGGACTGAATCCCTGAAGAATGTGAGCCAAATGAAACCTCTCCTCATTTAATCTATGGGTGCTAGGTATTGTGTCCTAGTGACAGAAAAGCTGACCTACACAGGGTGAGTGGGAAGAGACTGGCTCACCTGTCAAGGTATCTGGACACTCACCTGTTGGTCTAGCTGGAGAGGAACTTGGATATAGAAAAACCAAAGTAAGATCTTTAGAAAAGCAGTAAGTGCAATTTTATACTTTGTTGGCAGAGTTCTGGGTTATGGAGTTCATGATGTTTACAGAGTCTGAGAAGGAACAAAGCAGGAATACTTATGAATGCAAAAGCCAAAGAGTATGTTGTCATTAAACCACGTACTTTATTGGGTTCCCATCTCAGCAGCTCCAAGACAAAATCCCTGGTGATAGCATATGTGCAGTGTGATGATAGAGGTGTCTCTATCTCTTTCTCAAACAATATATCCGTATTTTATTTGGAACACTAAGGATTTAACCTGGGGGTTTCATACTGAGCTACAGCCCAAGCTCTCCTTTATATTTTTATTTTCATACAGAGTCTTGCCAACTTGTCCAGGCTAGGGTCAAACTTGGGATCTTCCACTCCCTGGTCCCCCGAGTGCTTGGATTACAGGCATGTGACACCAAGCATCACTATATAGATCTTTTAACAAGATGTGTCCACCCAGATTTACCTGGGTAAGACAGAATTCCTCAGTCTCCTCCATGGAAATTATTTCCATTAATAAGTCTGTTTGTGTGAGTCAGCTTTCCACCTCTGAGATGTACTAGGGGGAGGAAAGGCTTGTTTTCCCATCCTGGTTGGAAAGGCTTCCATTCACGGTTAGCTGGCTCTGCTGCCTTGAGGCCTGTGATGAGGTGGAAGCATCATGGTGGAAGGACTTGGTGGAGGAAACTGCTCATCTAGTGGCAGCTGGGAATTAGAGAAAGTGACAGAGCAGAGGATAAGGGGCAGGGGCCCAGATAGAGTCCCCAGGGATGAAACCCCCTTTCCGTGATCTCCTCCCTTCAATCCAACCCCATCTCCTTTTTCCATCCTCCTCTGTAAGGCTATCATCATAATCTTATCAACAGATTAATCCACTTCTGAAGTTAGTGTCCCCTAATCCAATTACTTAAAAGTTGCATCACCTGATAATGCAGACCTCATGTCAGTAAGCTTTTCCAGTTTTATATGACAACCATAGCACCACTGATCTGGTGCAGTTTTTCCAAAATAGACCCTATTTGAGGTACTAGCATGTGTTAAACTTAACAAAAAACCATACACAGTGGCTCTGCATAGTTTATAGTCTGGGTTTTTGCACTCAGCAATAGTACATTTGCATAGATTAATGCTGCTGTTATAAAATTATCTGCCCAAAGCAGACATAATAAATAAATAAATAAACAAACAATACTCAAACCACAAACTTTCTAGCCTCCACTGGAGTAACAGTGCAGAGATGCCCTCTGGTGGACATTTTGTTTTCTATAGTTAGTTAAGGAAAAGGAATCCTTTCGGCAAAGGTAAATTTAAATCCAAAATTAAAACCTACAAGACTGATTCCCTACTAAAATCACCCCGAGTTGAATTGCTGGTATAAGTGCTTTTGCTTTGTCTCTTTTCCAAATAAAATTTTAGATCTATTTATACAGTGGCCTCTTGCAAGCCCAGGCTTATTGGTTCCAGGATCTCTGCAGTTACCAAAATCCAAAGGTGCTTAAATTCCTTCTATAAAAATACACTTCATTAAGCAATCTCTGTAGATTACAGAAATATTCTAGATCAATGATGGTGAAGCTTTTAGAGATTGAGTGACCATACAACTTCCCCAAACCAATGTATTTATCGCAAATTCTAACACTGCAGTTCAACTTTAGTACCAAGGTTTTGGTTTGGAGAAAATCATTTTTAGACACTTGGCTGCTGTGGGGCCTTGGCTCACGTGTGACAGAAAGGGCTCTGCATGCCTGCTGTGGCACACACATCCTAGATCCACGCTGCTGTTCCACATAACACCAATATTATATTACCTAATGAAATGTAAACACAATGTAACTGGTCGTTACTTTGCTTTGTTTAAGACTAGTGATGGGACCAGTGTGTGTACACAGTCAGTACAGAGGTACACTTTTTTCTAATATTTTCCATCCACGGTTGATTGAAACAGTGGCTGTAGATCTCTGTGGAGGGAGGATGCCTCATGATCCCTCAGCATCATCTTTACAGTGTTTTTATTACAAGAAAGTGTTAAGACTGCAGTGACCCAATGCACTAATAACCATGATAAACAATATTTGTTTATATATATATATATATCCTCCTACTGTGTATGAAGCATATACACTGCCAGACTTGAGTGTCTTTGAATGCCACTGCCCGGTGCCATCCAACAAAAAGGCAACATTGTAAAAATGTGACAGCACATCCTGATTCACCACAGTCATTGGTTCTGGCACTATGTGATTTGTGACTTCCCTAAAGTCAAACTGATCATGAGAAACATGAATCATTCAGGACACGGAGGCAGCCGTGGTAGGACAACTAAAGACACTCAAGAAAGAAGACTTCTTCCTCGTGCGGCCATTTTGTAGTATCTGTCAGCCATTTTGGTGCTGAAGGGAGGCAAGGGAGGCTGGAGGAGGAAGGAAAGGGAGAAGAAACAAAAGAGGAGAAGGGGAAAATGGAAACAAAACTTTTGTAAATAAGAATGGAAAGAAAGAAGGGAAGGCAGGTGGATGAGAGAAGATGTATAATGAACACCAAGATGTATAATGTACAGATACAAATTTCCCATGTGGCCATTCTGTATATCGCGCATACAAATAAAATTAATTTAAAAAATAAAAGATAGGATCTACTGAATAAAAAAGAAAAAGAAAGAGGACTTCAGAAAGTGGCAAGAATGACGAGATAAGTGTCTTCAAAGCAAGGGAGAGGAGCTCGAGGTGGATTAATAGCAATACGTCTTTTATTAGAATTTTTTTAAGAATTAGAACACACACCTTATTTTTTTTTAAATGTAACATGGATCCTGAGGAAGAGCTGAGACACAAACACCTACACGAAACGTGTCCCACCTGTGCCAAAGACTTTCCTAGCAGCAGGAGGCAGGGGCACACCCGCATGCAGTACAGGGTTGGAGGGAACAGTGGGTGCCCTTTTGAGAGGGGTCCTCAGGTGGGAGGTGCAGGGAAAAACCATTTGCAACAGGAGAGGGTGAGGTAGACACTCTGGAAGAAGGATGCTTGAGCTGAGTTGGAAAAGGAAGGACAGGAGCAGGCAATGAGGAAGGAACACACAGACGCCTTTGGCAAGGTACCTTAACAAGAAGAGAGGAAGAGCTGACATCAGAGGAGGTGGAGCTTGAGTGGCCAGTGTGGGCAATTTGATCTTTAATACAACTATAATATACCCAGAAAATGCTGCATAACCATAACAGTTATAATATTATAATAATGTGTTAAAGGACTTGGACATAGTTTACTTACTATTATATAAAACATTTACTTTTTCAGGCGGAAGCTGACAATATTGTGACCCTGCAGTCATTTAAAGATAAATGCGAACCTGTTTTTCTCTTTAGTGTTGTAAGTATAGCATTCGTCTCAATTCTATTAGCAGATTCTATTTTGCAGCTAAAGACATGTAGCATTATAAAATTGTCATGAAACTACTGATAATGGCAACTGCACATTGTGTGCCTTATCACTGATCATCTGTTATTGTAATTAATAATCTGACATTTAGGAGTTGATGGTTGAAGAGCTGAGACTATCAAATCAGGGAGCTGATCAGAGAAAAGTAAAATAACGTGATGTTTCCTCTACTAAGGAAACCATCAGAGTTGCACACTGAAGTATTTACAGGAGTGAGAAATTGGAAATTTCTCAAATATCTAGCAGGAGAAAAATACTTACCAATATTCATACATACCCACATGAGAAAAGATCTGTATCATCACTACTTTGGAATACATATAACTTTTACCTTTGCTAATGCAAAGGAAGAAGAAGACCCAAAGTTTAGTCATCAAAATTTTCTACACATGGGAGAGGATGCATAAATTTTTCTTCTTTACATTTCTTTGTGTTGCCCAAACATTATGTGATAAACACACAATTTTAATGATCAGAAAACCCTCAGAAGCACTATTTTTTAGAAGCAGAGCCCGACGGTCTCACTGTGTGGTGTCTAGAACTGACCTCTGCAATTAGATTTTCCCAGATTTTTGACCAAATCTATTTTTGCTTTCCTCTTTCCCTACCACATTCTCTCTGCAGCCCAGAAGTGATGACAGTGTTTTTCAGACAGTTTCTCAGGCAAGGAGCAGAATTTCTGTTTCTCTCTTTTTTTTTCCTAGTTCACACTACTTTGTTATTAGAAATCTGTTTTATTTGGCAACATTTTGTTCCCCTCCTCCCTCCCTCCTGTTGCTTATTGGCCTTCAAAACATTTCTACTGATGACTGAAAGCTTGGCACCTGACTCCAAGACTTTTTCTCAAAACCAAGGCCTCCCATCACACGGGAGCTGTCAGTATTCACATTCACAAACTATCCTGGCCTCCAATTCTTGATCTCCATACTGCCGATGAACTTTTATGGCCAGTGAATTTTTCTTCCAATGTACTTCAATCACTCACTCCTGTATTCACGCCTCTGGCATTTTGTCACCCTCTGTTGCACATTCATGACCATTAAATGAAGAATCTCATTCTCTGATCAGAAAACCATCCTGGAGCTTATTGCTTGGTTATTCAAATATTCCCTCAGTGGCCCTTTGAAGCTGTCTTGGCTGATAACAAATTCCTTCTAGCAGGTTTCACCAGGAGGGCTTCTTTTCAAGGGAATGGTTGAAAGAATCCTTTTAGTGGAAAGTGAGAATTAAAACTTCTATTTTCATCTAAACTTTTTTTAGTTGCATTCTTTGCATTGGCCTTTGAATATGATTAGGAGTTTCAAATAAAAAAAAATACTTCATTCTGACACCATGCCCCTCTCCAACTACACAGCCATTGCTTTTACTCGCTTTATAGCTAAGTTGCTCGCTTTCTATATTTATATTTACTGCATTTTTTCCAGTACCATTTACTCCTCAGCACATGCACATGCAATTCTGTTTGATTATTCTACTGAAATGGCTGTTGCTAATATATTCAGTTACAAATCTGTTGCTAAATATTATAGGCATTTTTATATCTCCATAATTGCCTACCTCTCAGATGCATTTCTTTCGTGACTATGCCTTTGCTTTTGAAATGCTTTCCTTTTTCAAGTTGTGGAACTTGGTTTTCCTTTTACCTCCCTGGGTATTTCACCCTTTCATCTCTTTTGCTGATCCATCCTTTTAATTTACATATTCTATTTCGATACTGTCCTAAGAAAATTCCCTCGGTCAATGCTCTAAATTATCAACAAGTTAAATTTTCATCCACAGCTAAATCTATACTTCAAACTGAAGACTTGTGTCACCGATTTGACATCTGTGGGTTTTGCAAAACCCTATGTTGCTTAAAACTTATCCAGCACCTGGCCCTCCTCCCCCTGGACTGTGAGCCTCTTCTAGTGATTCCTTACTTGGAAAATAACATTATGATTCACAATTGACACAGTCTTACGTGAGAAGCAGAAGAGTCATCTCAGTGACATCTTTTTCCATCATAAAGTATCCAAACCATACTAAGGACCTGCCAGTTCTACCCCATGGCACATGTGTCTGCTCCTTCCCATTCGTTCCACTCCTCCTTAGACTGAGTGACCATTGCCTGCCAGCTCACCTCTAGAGTAACTTCTACAAACATCTCCTTACCCCTTCCTTCCCAGTGGTTTCTTTTTTCCGCACAGCAGGAAAAAGAATCTTTACAAGTAACAGTTCTAATCAGGGCTACAGCCTCTACTCAGCAGTCCTCTGGTTCCAACTGGACCTAAAGAGTAGGTTGCATCCGTACATTGATCACAGGCTCCACATGATTTGACGCTCTTTAGGGTTGGATTTCATCACATATAGTTCCCGCTCTCTTTCTCAGCTGGCCTCTACCCTGCCTTACCTCCAGCCTCATATCTTACATTTGCTATTGTTTGTGCCCAGAATGGTCTTCCTTCTCCTTTCTGACTCATTCTTTCTTGCCTTTCTTTCATATTTCAAGCATAGAATCACTTCCTGATACTGGGAAGTGCCTTTCTTGATCTCCTTGACCAGGACACATTCTGGTAAGTGCTCTGAGTGCTTTGCGCCTGTCAGAGTGGTATCTAACTGGGGCTGCCATCCCATGTGTGTTTATGGTTTTGTGGCTTCTTCTTTTTATATTATTAGGCCAGATAGGAGACCTCTGATTCCATTTAATGGTGCTTGATCTCTTTGCAGTGAATCAAAATGAAAGCCAAAAGGGATGTAGTGTCAGGAGGACAATTTTGGGAGATCTGTTCAGCATCATTCCACTTAAATTAGGGGACATCAGGAGAGAACTCATGTCATGTCATTGCTCCTATATGCTGATCACTGGCTCCAAGGTCCTGTTGGGGGACACAGCTATTGGCTTTAGTATAGGAAGACAGACACATTGGAGTTAGAACTCAAAAAGCTGGGCTTACTAACTCTAAAACAAATTTTATGCCACTGTTGACTTAATTTGAAGCAACTGATAACAATAGCTAAAAGAGGATTGATGAAGAAGAAGGCTCAAGGAGGGGCAAATTAGTCCAGGTTATCCTTTCTAGATTTCTTCTGAAAATGAGAGTTTCATATTTTCTTTTCCCTTCCATACAGAATGGCAAAATTATTGCAAAGATTCAGGGTGCAAATGCGCCACTAGTTAATAAAAAAGTCAGTACCTTGATCAATGAAGAGAAGAAGATTGCAGCAGGTGAAATGATTCGCCCTGAGGTAATACTGTGGATATGACTATCTTAACTTTTTAAATGCATTCCCTACTTTGTGGTTTTGCTGAAGGATTTTCCTAACTTCATTTATTAATCAGCTTTCTGTGACTGTGACCAAATACCTGAGGTAACCAACTTATAAGCAAGAAAGGTATAGTTTGTCTCATGGGTTCAGAGATTACAGTCTATGGTCACTTGGTGTCTTAGTAATTTTTTCATCATGGGGACAAAATACACAATATCTACAACTTCAAGGAGCAATGTTTATTTTGGCTTGTATTTTCAGTTAATGGTCAGCTGGTTCCATGGCAGGAAGGGCACGGTGAAGGGCTGGGTGAAGGAAAGCTTCTCACATCATGATTTCCAAGAAGTGGAGAGAGGAGGGAGGAGGTGGGGAAAGAGATACATCCTCCAGGCCACACCCTCAGTGACCCGTCTCCAACCAGGCCCCACCTCTAACAACACCTTAGCTATTGTACCTCTGTGCTCCAATCACCTTCCGAAAGCCCCACCTCTGAACACATGAGGCTATGGGAGACCATTCTAGATCTAAACCATCATGCTTTGGGGGCTGTGATGAGGCAGAGCATCATGGCAGCAAACACGTGCTGGAGGAGGCTGCTCATCTCATGGAGAATAGGAAGAAAAAAGAGAGGAGACTTGAAGAAAACCATGTCCCACAGTTCCCTTCAAAGGCTCACCCCAATGACCTAACTTCCTCCCACTAAGACCCATCTCTTAAAGGTTCTTCCACCTGTCTTTATTTCCACAAATTGGGGCCAATTCCTGAATGCATGGGTCTTGGGGTTCACTTCTCCAAGCTAGGACTCCATGACAACTTAGACATCCAAAAGGTAAAAACGTGGAAGCATTCAGCAATGTGAATCAAAGGCATCATTCATATTTACCTTCAGTTCCTTGAGTTATAAATGTTTATTTTAAATTTCTAAACATTTTTTCACCATAATACTAAGACAACTGTGGTTTACTTGCCTTTCTCTTTCATAGTACCCTGATATTCTGCTCATAGAATTAGAAAAGACTGAGAGAAAACCTACAGGTAAGTAAGTTTACTTTACAGTAAAGCCAAGGGTTTTCTGTTCATGGGTGTTCATTAGAGCGTCATTGTTAACAGCAAAAAGGTATTAGCAACAGCAATGTTAATCAATAGGCAACTTTGGGATAATCGATGATGGATGCCTTGCAGGGTTGAATGACTAAAAATCACCCTCTTTTTCTCTCCTGGCTTCATATGTTTGGTCCCTGAGCAAAGACTTTCTAAGGTTAACCCAGTTACCCAGGTCTGGTGGTAAAGGACTATATAATCCCAACTCTGGGTGACAGAGGCAGGAGGATCACAAGATTGAGCCCAACCTGGGCAATTTAATGACTTAGTGAGTTTATACCCCAAAGATTTTTTAAAAATAGGATAAGGATGTGTTATGTTAGGAAAAAAGTTAACCAGGTTTATGGATCCTGCGTCTTGCAACTAATTTAGGCAATAGCTTTCTATTTCAGCTTTCCAAAAACTTATGAGAATGATTTCTTTTGATGATAGTGCTCTTGGTTAACTTTTTAGTTACCAATTCTGTGCCTTCATGGGACTTCGTGTATGTGTGTATATGTGCTCATTCTCTGAATGGAGCAAAGGCAGACATGTTCAGCGAGGTCTTGCACTAAAAGTATGTTATAAAAATGTAGATAAATATGTGGATGGAAATTCTGTCAGTCTATGGTTTTGTGCAGTGTATGCTGGAAACTTCATTTACTAGTGGTACTGAGCTGCTTGGATCACGTGGTCATTCAAATATATGTGAATGACCTTAAATTCACCAGCATTTATTTCTGCAATGTCTTTTGCCTCCTGATTAAAATCTCTTATGAATGTTTCCCCTGCATGCAAATATATAACCTGTCCTTTGATTCTAAGTAGAAACGCTTTAATACTTGACATGTCATAATTAGATGTCATTCTATCAATGACCGGAGATTCACTGAACATCAGGAATTTACTTTTGTAACTATCAGATCCTTCAGGGTCCCACTTTTGTCCCAATACAATGAGACTGTTTTTTCCCTAGGGGAAATTTATTATATTGTTATAATCAAGCCTGATGCTGTGCTTAAAACAAAACCTCAAGAAATTAAAGAAAAGGTAAGTAACCTTTGTCAACAATAACTTAATTTCAAAGTAACAGCACCTTCACTGTCAAGTTAGAATCATGCTTATAACTCAAAATAAAACAGAATATAATGAACAGCTTGCACTAGGTACCTCTAAAGGTTTCGAGCATTCTATATAAGTGTCTATCTCCTCCTGCAACCTCCTGTAAATAGACCTACTCTGCCTGTTTAAGGTATCAATTGTAAATTATAGTTCTTATATTGTAATATGTTTTTTGTTTAGTTATTAGTGATACCATCTTGTTATAGACTCACACTGACTTGCTTTATCCTCTGTATGTTGTTACGCAGGGATGATCCTTTTCAATACATGAAAGTTTAAGAAAGCATTTAATGTCTGGCTTTAAAACTCAAGTAAATCATATTAGATCGAGGATAGATATATTTCACATGTATATATTTTTATATATATGAAGCCATATTTTAATTTAGAAACCAGAAAACTTTTCCAGTAAAGGGTCAAATAGTAACTATTTTGGGGTTTGTTTGCATAAAATCTCAGGCAGCAACAATAAATAATATGCAAGTGAATAAGTGTGCCTGTGTTTCTGTAAACTTTTTACACAAATAGCGAAAAACCCAGATTTTGACTGCAGCCCCTAGCTCTGATTCCCTTGAAAGATGACCCTATGCTGAAACAACAAAATTATGTTGAAATTCGAAGGCATGTTACGTGCAATAGAAGAGGGCATATAAGGAGCCTTGTCAAGAGGAATAGGATATCTCTTCTTGTTTTGCTTTTTGATTAACTAATTTTAGTTTGTTTGATATGATCAGAATCATTCTTTTTGTCCAGTTCATATCCCTTCTTTATCTCTTTGATAAATAATTTTAAACTTAAAGAAAGTTAGCAAAAACAGCAAAGAATTTCCTCCTTAAACCTTTTGACACTACTTCATCAATAGTATGGTCCCTGCCCCCCCCCCAGACTTGAGTATTTCTTTCTTAAAACATGTGTCTCCTCCCACTTAATCACAGCATCCAATTGAAAAAATAATACCAGTATTTCCCATCATATATTCATTCTTTAGCTGGAGCAGCTCTGTCATTGAGTAAGCCAGAATAAACAGATATTCCAGAGATAGTAGGATGTATGCCATTTGTTCTGATTTTAAGTTGGTTTAATTAATATCACTTTCTAAGGATTATGCTCCAGATTCTGCTGTGTGTCTAGATGGGTGAGTAGATGGGCACCAAACTGCATGCTATTTCTTCACACATGGTTACCTCTTTATCAAATGTTTCAAAAGTAATATTACATACCAGTGCTTTCCTGTTCATATTAGAGGATGTTTGAATAGCCCCAGTGGTGAAAGTTTTCAAATTATAGTTATTTTTAACTGAGTACTATGAACGATCAATTTATGTTCATTTTTTTTGTTCTGACATGATATACAGCATTTCAAGACTGTAACATAGATTCACAAAAAACTTCAATTTTCTGGAATATAGTAAAAGCAAGCATAAAGGACAGGGAAAAATCAAAACTGTGTCAAATAAAAATGAAAAAATATATTAAATTCTTAGTCTGCCAAGAATGAGAAATTATCAAGTCCAAATGTTGCATGGAATCTTTTGTCTGTTGTCAGTTGCTATATAATTTGACAAAGATATGCTCTGGAACATGTTTTTTAAACATGTAAAAGTGAGATCACCATGATGTAAATAATGCTTTATAGTATCATTAAGTACAAGGAAACCAATAGAATTTTTATTTTTATAATTGAAGCAGAACAGACCTGGTGCTGGATACTCCCAAATCAAGTTGAGCCAATATCATTGAATGTAATTACTGAGCTGTATCGAATCCAAATCTTCTTTTTATTTAATTACTTAGTGCCTCATTGAGCTTGTCATGCTGGTCTCAAAACTTCTCTTTGTTATATTTTATTACATGTAAATGATATGTAAATTGATCTTTGTCATTAAATTTTTATTGAAACAATTGAAACATGGTTAACTCTTAAATTCTAATCCTTCTTGATAATTTAGATGATTTCCTTGCTGATAAAGTTTGTTGTCATAAAAGAATTGCAATAAATTAGTGAACTAGCAATTTTTGAAAATTAAAACAAAATAAGTTAAAATACTTTTGAAAGTAGTTAAGTACTTGAGAACTTGTGGTTTTGAGTGATTCAGAAAGCTGTGGTATCCTTTCCTTAGAATTACATTTTTTAATTTAGAGGCAATTCTCTTAATAAAAATATTTCAGAGTCTCTGGTTCAATCTCTAAGAGGCATGAAAGAACCTCCTTTCTGTATTTCTGAGTTATTTCAAACCTAGTACTCTGAAGATTTTTTTTTGAGATCTTTACTTGAAAAGCATTCAAATCTGCATTATGCAGAAAAGCCTTCTGCACAGCATGGGAAACAATGCAATAAAAAGCCTGTAGAGAATGGAAAAAAATATTTTTCAGCTACTCTTCCAGAGTACCAGCGGTTGGTACCCAGAATATACTAAGAACTAAAAAATTTAACACCAAAATACCCCAAGTAACCCTATCAGTAAATAGGCAAACAAAATGAAGAGACACATATCAAAATAAGATGTACAAATGACTGATAATTACATGAAAAAATGTTCAATATATTTATTAGTGAAATGTTAATCAAAACCACATTGAGATTCCATCACGCTAGTCAGAATGGCTATCATCAAGAATACAAGGAAAAAGAAACCCATCTATCCTGTTGGTGGGAACATAAATTATCATAGTCACTATGGAAATCAAAATGAAGGTATCTCAAAAACTTTAAATAGAACTACTATTTGATCTGGCTGTACTACTCCTTGATACCTATCTCAAAGAATTTGAGTTGCTATATTATAGAGATACTGCACACCCATATTTATTGTGGATGTAGTCATGTAATCTAAAACAAACTGTGTGCTGATAAATCGACAAAGAAAATGTGATATATATATATATATATATATATATATATATATATATATGATATATATATATATACAAAATAAGATATTATTATCCATAAAGAAGAATTAAATCAGAGTAAGGATGTAGCTCAGTGATAAATGCTTGCCTACAACATGGCAGGTCTTGGGTTTAATCCTCATGCAATAAAAGAAAACAATACAGTGTCATTTTCAGGAGAAGGTGTTGAGCTGGACATTAGCATGTTAAGTGAAATAAGCCACATTTAGAAAGACAAGTGTTACATGTTTTTGTTTTCTTCTATGTGGAATATAGGGATGGGGAAAGAAAGACCACACAGAAGTAGAAGGAAGTCTACAAGCGAAGAGAAAGGGAATGAAGGGGAGAGGATGCAGAGGAAGGTGTTAATGGGGATGGAAATGGTTAAAGGAAATGCATAAATGAATATGGCAAAATGAAACTCATTATTCTGTGTAACCACTGTACATCTTTTACAAATCCTAAGTATAGGAAACAAACAGCCCTAACTTTATCTCACCTGTGATCTGTGACATATCTGCTTCTCACCTAACTGCAGATCACCGCAGCAGGATTTGTCATAGAAGCAGAAGACAAGATCATGCTCACTGAAGAACAAGTGAGGGACTTCTACAGTCAGATAGAAGATGAGGTAAAAAGATCTTAAAAGGGGTGGAGATGTAACTCAGTGGTAAACCACTTTGCATTGCATGCATGAGGTCCTGGGTCCAATCCCCAACACAGCAAAGAAAACCAAAATAAAAGGATTCCAAATGACATTCTTTGTTCAAATATATTCAAACATACTAATTCCTAAAAGGAAATATTCATTACAGAGAAGTAAATGAGTACGTCTGACCAATGCAAGAGTTCCAGGTGTCTCTGTTGGTTTCCATCTTTGGTTACACCAAAGATGGCGCCTCAGGGAAATCTCTGGTAGAGATAGTGACACCCAGAAAAGGAAATAGTCCAATTATCTTGGTGGAGCAAAGATCTCTTTTAGTTATGTGCTCAGGAAGTGAATATTCAGTCAGTACTTATATTCAGTCAATATTTATATTTATATAAATTTTTATGCTGGATTGATGGGTTTTTTAATCATTAGTTCCACAGAAAAGCCCTAATTAGTTCTTTCCCTGAAAGCCTTTTTCTCAGTCTGTGTTTGTTGACATTCTCTACTGCCTGACAGAATAAGATAAAGGCAGTACTGGATAATATTAGAAAGTGCTTTTGTTTTGGGGTCAGAAGATCTATCTTCCAGAAATGCACACTTCAATATGGTGCATACTAAATACATGTGGCCATTTGAATTTGAATTCATTAAAACTAAACCACAGTAAACACTGAGACTCAGTCACACTGGTCCCACTTCAAGCACTCCATAGCCAGTATGTTGTAGAGTGCAGAAAAACAAGTTATTTGTCACAGGCAGTTCTCCTGGACAATGCTGTGTAACGCTGGATGCACCATTTAAAATCAGGGAAGCAACAGCTGGCTCTAGCTTCCACAGATATGAAAACAAAGAGTTTCTCTAGCTGTATCAGAAATGCATTAAACTTGTGAGAAAATCCAGCTCCTGGACTGTACCCCAAAGCTACTGAACCAGCAACTCTGGGAATGTGTTCTAGAACATTCTGTTTAACAAATCCTTCAAGTGACTTGAAATTATTCTAAAACTTAAAAGATGAAATTATTCTAAAACTTAAAAGTTCACTGGTTGTGAACTTCCCTTCAAAAATATTTTGCAAATAAATATTCATACGGACAACATTCTTCTGCCCATGGATCAAACAGGGGAAGATATCATTGGTCTTGCATGGTGACCGCCATTTTATTCCATCTATCGCGGGAACCTTAAATAAATAGTATATCATTTTATTTTGTAGCCTGACTTTGAAGACTTCCTTTCTTTCATGACAACTGGCCTAAGCCATGTGCTCGTTATAGCTCAAATAAAAGATCAGATGGAAGAAAGTGACCTAGAACTCGAAGGACCATCTGAACCTCCAACTGCGAGTGGTGCTATGAAGTGGAAGAGGTAACTAAGACCAGAAATGTATCAGAGTGTGTCATTAGCTAATCAAATACCTGAAAATAACACAAGTTTTTAATGCTGGAACCACAAGTGTTTCTTCCTGTTGACTTGAATTATTGTCAACTGGATAGATTTGAGAGACTAGTAGATCACACTTCTGGCTGTGGTACGCAGATGGGCCATGGAGATGTGATCTTGGAGACTATGTTGGTGCCTGCTCCTTTCCTTTCTGACTCCTCTTCTTCTTTCTGCTCCTAGATGGCAGCTTTCTCTGCTACACCCTTCATGATGTTTCTACCATGGATCCAGCTGACCATGGACTGAAACCATGAGCCAAAGAGCATCCCTCTTCCTTTAAATTGCAGGTGTCAATTACTTTGTCTTAGGAATGACAAAGCTGACCATTACATCGGATGCTCCCCAAAGTTTATGCTAAGAACATTCAAAACAAATTGTCCCTGTATATCCTTCTAAACCCTAGGCAGAACAATCTGGCCCACGGCCTGGTACTTGAGAAGTATGTAGGAATCACATGATCCCCCCAAAACTCTGACATCTCCCAATTCCCTTTCTGCCTTCTCTGTGCCCTAGAAATATCAGACCTGCTCTTTTTCACAAGGCAGTTGATGGTTATAAATAGCTGACCACAAGATGCCTGTATATTTTTGTTAAGGAATTCACAAGCATTTAGAAACAGACATAAGTAATTTGGAGAATGTTGTTGCATGAAGCTATTTGTACATTTAGACCTCTGAAGGCTCAGAGAACCCAAAGCTTAACACACCAGGTGTCAGGGCTGTGCCTGGAAAAGTGCTGGGTGAGCAGGAACAGGCTGAGGGCGTCTGAGTCTTTAGAGCTTTGTGGGGGTGTGATCCACAGCTTGCCTCTCATCTCTTACATTTGTTGCTTGGAAGTTCCCATGGCTTTCTTCATTAGTGGAGGTTTCCCGTGAATAACTATATCTTCGGTTCCTAGCATTGTCATATCTTTTAGGTAGCAGGAAATTCTAATCCCATTCACTTCAAGTTTCAAATCCTATAATAGAACTGCTTAATTACTGCAGTAGTAGTTGTTTTTGAGGAAGAGGGATAGTTGAGTGGGCAGGAAGGCAGGCTTGGGTGGAGAGTGTTGGGTTTAGAAGTATTAAAATTTATACCTCTGAGCCAGGGATTTAGCGCAGTGACACAAGCACCTGCCTGGCATGTGTAAGGTTGTGAGTTTGCTCCCCAGTACCAAGAAAAAATTTATACCACAGTTTTTGAGCCATTCAAAAATAAAAAATGTTCTGTGAGATACCCAGTGAGGCAACTGATGCAGGACAAGTTGGAATATTATTAGTACTGTTACCCAAGTCTCTATCGCATTCAGCTTTGGAGGGAGTTCTGTTCAGTTGTTCGACAGTCGCATTACAACATCGTGGTGGATTAACTAGTGATCACTGTAAGTGTGTAACGTTCACCTGAGCTATATCAGCATGGTTCTGGGCATGGAAGATCCAGTGGAGGGTTGTTGCCAACAGCATAAAAGAAGATCCACAGGGGAAGAGTGCATACTGCTGATTTTCCTGAAGCTGCTTTTCCTTCAGAGGAGCTTTGGCTGCTGGCTTCCTTTAGGAGAGCTTCAATCTCATCTTCATCTTGCATGTCATCTCTGGGCTTCCAGTGCAGATGTCTCAGCCTTCTGGCACAGCACTGGCCTTTTTACCTTTCAGCACTGGCCCTTGGGACTTTCTGATGCAGATCCTTGATGTGGACATGAACAGGACATTGTCATGAGCTACAAGCCCTTGACTGGATCCTTCAGGTCTCCAGCACACAGACATTTTGTACTCTTCGGTATTTGACTGTAGTCAGCACTGACTAACACATACATGACAGTATAGGCATTTTCATTGACGGTAGAGTGTGGGTAGAGTGTGACCAGTCCACATCGCTTTGCCATTGACTGTAATATTTTCTTTCTAAACTTAGGGACTTCCCTGGGTCTTCGGCTGTGTTTGTCTTGAGCACGGGCCCCAGGCAGGAAGCGTGGGATGGTGTGGATCAGGCTTGGTTGCTGACTGCTGTTATTCAAACTGTGCTTGTTCTCCAGGAAGGAACTTGTAGACCACCCTTGGGTCCAACATGGAACTCAAAGAATAATACAGAAACCATCTGAAAAGCTTCACATGGGATAAAATTTTTTTAATTAAAAAACATAATATAGTTTAACTTGGGCTTTATTTATCCTTTCATAACGTCAAACACTGAAGATGCCTGGCCACTGATTATGGGAACAGTTCAGTAAAAAGTTGGATTAAATACTATATCGGGGGTAGGGTAGGAGAGAAATGTGGTGTATCTTCTTTTTTTTTTTTTTTTTTTTTTTGTCTTTTTCCTTTTTTATCGGTACTGGGGATCGAACTCACAACTGCCTGCTTGCAAGGCAGGTGCTTATGCCGCTGAACTAAATCCCCAGCCCCTGTGTATCTTCTTATGAAGTTCAAATTTTTTTTCCAAAGCTCCGATTAATTTATAAACATCCTGTTAGTTAATTTGTTGGTATGTTTTTTAATGTTTAATTTATAGTAGATTTAAATTATATTTTGTATTTTCACAGTTTAGAAGAGTGTCTAGAACAACAACATATATCTCAGTTCTGTGATGTGGAAGACAATGAAGCCAAAGTAGCTAAGCTCACTGATGTTTTCTTCCCTGATTTTAAAATAACCAAGAGCAAGAAATTACAAAAGACACTGGCATTGCTGAGACCAGATATCTTGGAAAATCAAGGTGGGAAATACGTATAAATGCTCAAATAGTTTGTAGACAGGATTAGAATGTTCATTTACTAACTTCATTTATTTTTACTAACTTCTCAGTAGCTCTTTTAATAAGCTGGTAGCAATGAATAAAGCAATTTTTTGCCATTAAAGGAGTTAATGAAGCATTTTATAACCTGTAGCACGTAAGCGCCAATATTACCATGGCAGGATTTACAACGTAGGGGAGATGGGAAGCTTTCATGTCTGAAATGCCTCAATTCAGAACTCAGGTTCAGCCCAATTAACAGCATCACTGGAATAAGATATTTCACAGAACCTATTTCTTCATCTGGAAAAGTCAGAGGATTGAAAGGAGAAAGCATAAATGAATTGCCAGGCACTTTGCTATTGACAAATAGCACATCCCACATTGACAGGGCAGAGTGAAAATGAAGAATAAGCACTGAGTTCATCATTGACTCTTTTCTTAACTTGTCCCTTTTCCTTCCTTCTTTCTTTCTCTCTTTCTTTCTTTCTTTCTTTCTTTCTTTCTTTCTTTCTTTCTTTCTTTCTTCTTTCTTTCTTTTAATACGGAATTAATATGGAAACATAGTTGGTATTTGCATATTGACTTTTTATTCTCTGATTTGCTGAACTCAGTTCTGGGAGCTTTGATATAATTTCCTTGGGAATTTCCTGGTAACTCAGGACTCCTTAACCTTATATCGCCTCACCTTTTGGGCCAGGTCACTCTTGCCTGCAGGGGAGCCCTGTCTGGTGCACTGCAAAATATGCAGCAGCATCCTCAGCCTCCACTTGCTCCCTGTCTCCCATGCCATGAGCATTCTTCCCTCTCCTGTTATGACCACCAAAAGTGCCTGCAGACTCTGTCAAGTTTCCTTGTGGGGCCAAATCTCTCCAGCTGAGAACCAGTGATGTAGACACGGCCAGTAAGAGAGAAGCTTTGTCTCTCTTCCTCCCACCCACATGATTTTATTTCCTTTGCTATTTTATAACTTGACATAAGAAACTGGACTAACCTTAGGTTAAAATCTAAGAAGCTACTTTTATGAACTTTTACATTTCATAAGGAAAAGAAATGCATTATAGACCCTCATGATATATCCAGTAACCTACCAGTGTAAAACTTACCATATTGTTTGATCATTTCTAATTTAGATGATGTTTTGCAAATTATTAAAAATGAAGGCTTTACCATACTGATGGGAAGACAAATAGTATTATCAGAAGAAGCAGCAAAAATGCTGTGTGAGGAATATGAAAAAGAAACCTATTATGAGAAGCTTATAGAAACTATGACCAGGTAAAACAGAGTTCAGATTTATGCAGCATGATGTCAATCACTTTTTAATCATTGAAGCTTTCTCTTAATTCTGGTTTTTATTCACTACAGCAAAGCTCTACATTCCACAAACAGGCTCTGAGTCTATTTATCTGTCAGTCCTGCCCTGTCTTGATTATCTGCACAACTTGGGTCTTCTCTGCTGGTCCTGGATTGGCTTTGGAGCAATAGAAGGACACGAAAGTAGATAGGAGACCATTGTTAGACAAAACAAAGGGAATAAAGGAGGCTAACAGTAGAGATGGACACGATCAAATTATATCATATTTATTGAAATCCAATATTTCTCAAATTAATAGGTCCTGATAATAAAAGGGAAAATGAAACAAGATTAAATAAATTGCCTTGATCTAAAATGCAAAGAAAAATTAGAATTATTTATAATAATTATTACTATTATTATTATTCTTGTGCAGCATTTGAGACTGAACCCAGAGTCTTTGCCCTGCCCTACACCCCTAGTCCTTTTCTTCATTTTTACTTTGAGACACTGTCTCACTAAGTCACTAAATCACTCTGGTTAGGCTCAAATTTGTGGATCCTCCTGCCTTAGCTTCTCAGATTGCTGGGATTGTAGGCATATGCCACGACACTCAGATTTTATATTTTTAATGAAGTTTAAGACTTGCATGACTTCACTAAAGAAAATGTATAGCAAAGAAAAAAAAGAATTGCATGACTTCACTGGGCTAACCAGGAAACAAAATCAACAAATTGCTACTCTTCAAATAAAAAAAGGAATAAAAACAAGAAGGATCCCTGAGAAGTTGATGGCACTCAGTTGTGTTGAACTCCAGAAATCCAGGGTTCATACCCTCAAATCAGCACAGGTCTGACTAAGTAGTCTGATTTGATCAACTTGTCTTTTGGTTAGGCCTCCAGTCTTCTACAATCAGTGAGCGTAGGAAAGGAATGAGATGCTTGAAATGTGTCAAGTTTCTACAAGAATGACTTAAATAGCAGCTGAGGCAGAAATCCAGTGAGGGCACAGAGGCCAAAAGGTTCGTACAAATCAGGAAGGCTTCACAGGACAAGTCAGGACCCTCTCCTTTTTCCCTTTCCTTGTTTGCTTCTGACTTCTTAGAAAAATGCTCAAAAGTCTCACAAAGGAAACTAATGTTAGAACCCCCAAAAGGATTACTTTGGCAGATTTTCAGTCTATTTAACTATATTTATATTATTTATCTCTCATTAGACACTAAGCCGTATTCTTCATAACTATTTTTGTTTTCTACCAGGAGTCCATCTCTCGCCCTTGTGTTACTAAGAGACAATGGTGTGCAACACTGGAAAGAGTTACTGGGACCAAAGAGTGTGGAGGAAATCGTTGAATATAACGCAGAGAGGTAGGACTTATACCCTGGGCCTTGAGTTTTTTCCATAGGTTCCATTTTAACTTCATTTTGGTGTGAGGTACAGAACCACAACTCTAGGAAATTGACTTTTCCTGGGCAAGCACCAGGCTATTTAGGATGAACTTCCTGTCCAGTACCAGCCTGAAGATGGATAATGCTTTGCAGGAGAACTTTGGGCTTGGGGTTGAGAATGAAGAAGTGGATACGGAGGCAATAAGGCCTCTCTTGGGAAAAATATTCTCCTCACCTGCTACTTAGGTCAAATGTCTTTGAGAAAGAAATTTGATGATGACAGTTACAGACCTTCAACTGATAGTACGAGTTTCAGGACAATGGTGACTACTTGAATATATCCTCCAAAAATTGATGGAACATCTGCTTTGTTTGCTGATGAATCTTAGAAATCAGCTAAATCTTCATGATCTACTCAGATGCGTCTAGATGGGTGCTTCACTGATCACCTGGGCAGATCCCACAGCATATCAAGTTGATACTCTGTGCTATGCACCTCAACATGGTACTAGAGAGAATTTCTATCAAAACAAGGTCTGTGCCTCTAAGCAATCTCTTCTAGACACATCCTGGAGGCTTTGCCCTGGGCCAGAGGTATTTTCTCCATGTGACAATAGTCTGTGACTGCTTCTCTCTGTCCCCATAGTAGAGGGAGAGTTCTGAAAATCCTTGACCATCATTTTTGTTTGATCTCCATATTTCCAGTTTCATTGTCTCTATGCAGCTCTTACAGGCTGCTTTTAGGAATAACTCAACAGGGAGACATATCTCCAAAGATTAAGTACAGGAGTAGCCAAGGGCTGAGGCTAAAGGTCAAGCTAGAAACCTGAATGGGTCACTGAAACCATGGAAGCAAGAAAGTGCTGAAAACCAAGATTTCAATGCCATAAAGAGGATACACATCATTCTGAGCAACAAGGGACATTATTCAACATAGTTGAATTTTTTAAAAAATTCATTTAAAGAAACAAAAAGAAATCACTTGTTGATAAATTACATATTGTCCTCTTAGAAATAGTTTCTCAAGTTATAAAAGTAAAACATACAAATTGGACATTTAAACAGCAAGACTTCAAACAGTTCTGTTCAACTAACATAGTTGAATTTTTGTGGGCTGGCTGATCCGATTGTATTATTTAAAGTGCAGAACATAAAATGGGCTGAGATCATCCCTTTTTTGAAATCTCAGATGGAGACATAGATTAAAAGGACAGCAGATGAAACGCCCAGGAACATCAGTTGATTAATGAGATACATAGTCTTCTATAGAGAAAGAAATAGGGTAAATTTCTCCATCATGAATGGTCCAATAAAATCAGCCACCTCTTTCTATAAAACTACCTGTGTGGGGCTATTTTATTACTGTTCCTCTTCTCTCGATGGTTGCAATATAGTTCCTTCTCCGTTCAAAGTTTATAATTCGTTATTTTTGAAAGAAAGTCAAATAAGGTCTTATGCTTGATAACATTTAACCCATTTCTCATTTATCTTGGAATAACTCATGGATTGCAGTCCTACCCTTCCCTCCAAGTTTGTAGTGATATTTTCACAAAATAATGAATAGTCTTTGGAAACAAAAATCTTGTTTGTATGCATAACATTCTGTGTATACAGTGGCATTTCCATTTACAAAATAAAATAATTCTTGATTTTTGCTCTGGGCCTTGAAATTTACCACACATACAAAAATGATTAAATATTGACAGCAATATCCATGTCCTTTATATTAGAATTGAGCCAAGTTCTGTTTGGAAATAACTTCAAGAACAGTGTTTATACTTCACTGTCACATTGAAAACCAGTCAAATTTGCTTCATAGAGCACACACTTCGTATTTTATGTAAAATTGAATGAACACTAGCAGTCAGCTGTACTTTTCCACTGAACATAATAACAAAAGCAACAGAAGAAATATGGAGAGCTCAATATGTTCCATACACTTCAAATTCCTCATCTGATTGCACCCTCAAAAATCACCTAGCACACAGCTTTGAGAGAACTAATGCACAAAGAATTTTAATCATTATCCAATCAAACACATCTAGCAAGCAATGAGACCTGGCTCCAACGGTCTGGTCTTTTCTTTGCACTAATACTCTTTCTTCCTTTCATGGTTACCCATCTATATCCGCCATCAGGATGATGTAAATGATCACATCTTTTCTTCCTAATGACTGTCTCCTCCTTGGAAGGAAGTAACGTGTGCTTACTTCCTTTTGCACACTATTAAGATCAAGAACGGGTTCTGCTGCACAGTAATTTTAAACAATGTATGTTAAGTATTGTTGTTAGGTTGTCGCGTGTGTTACGGTAGTTTTCAAATTTAACTTCTTTTTCAAAGTTTATGTGCACAGTTTGCAATGGGAAGTTTGCCTATCAACCAATTGTACGGAAGTGATTCAACAGAGGCTGCGGAAAGGGACATACAATATTTCTTTCCTCCGGAGGATACTTTCGCATTAATTAAGCCTCACGTGACACATGAACAAAGAGGTAAATATTTAAAAGCAAAGCTGACATGGGGATTTTTCTTCCAAATTTGGTGAAGTTCTTTAAACTGCAGACAAGTTAAAAAGAATAATACAATGACTACGCATATCCCTTCCTCTAGATTCAAAAATTAACTTTGTCATATTTGTACATGTATTAGTTACTTTTCTGTTGATGGAACAAAATACCCAACACTGACAACTTAAAGATGGAGATATTTGTTTTGGCTCTTGGTTTCAGCCTAAGATTGGCTAGTTCCAAGCAGAAAAGGTGGGGTAGAGAGTCTGGCAGGGGAAAATGCTCATCCTATGGCAGCCAGGAAGTAGAGAGAGAAGGGACGAACCAGACAAGAATATGCCCTCCCAGGCTCCATCCCAGTGACCACCTCCATCAAGGCCTCAATTCCTAACAATACATTCAGCAACCAGCTCACCAATGGGTCGTTCCAAGGTCTATTTCCTTGTATACACAGCGGACATTTGGGGACCATTTTAGGTTGAAATTGCAGGTTGGTCACTCTCATAATAAAAGATGACACTGGGCTGGAAGTTGTAGCTCAGTAGCAGAGCAGGTGGCTCATCATGTGAAAAGTCCAGCACACTTAGCATAAAAACTTTTTTTGCTGTTGAAGTTCATTTCAAAGTTGATGGAAATGTTTTCTTTCCGTAGACATATTCATATAGAAAAGTATTGTAATGATATTTCTAATGTGCATTTCTGTGTACATAATCCTGTATTTTTACTTGCTTCTATTTCAACTAGGACATTTTTTTTTTTGCACTGAGACTAACAAGCAAGATTAGTTTGTGTTTGTGTGTGTGAAAATTTTAGCAAGCTTAGATTACAGTGGAATAATCCCTAAAGATACTGAAATCTTTTTAGCACTCTAAGCAGCACAGGACTGATAGTTCAAGGTTTGGTGAAATTTTCCTTTGAAAACTTTTAGGCCTATTGCTTTTTGGTGTGTTTTACAGAAATCAATCTGTCTAAACTTTCTCTCTTGCTTGGTTAGTTTCTTTTCAAAGTTGTTTCATTATCTTTCACTTTTTAATTAGTACAGGTCTGGGCACACAATGATCCCATTCATCCTGGGATTTCTACATGTGCTAACTCTTTGTCTCCTTTTCTTCCCCTGCTTCTGCCAACTCTTCTTCTTCTCCCCATTTGTAAAAGCTCTATTTCTATTTTATCTTCAAATCTTTTTAAATATATTTTCCTTCTCTTTCCTCTGCTCTGCCTCCATCTCTTGTTCCTCTTCTCATTTGAAAAAAATTCTTTGTTTTCGTGTTTTATTTTGTGGTTTATTTACACTTAGGTTTCTCATATAAGAGAATGTCAAATTTAAATGTGTGTGTCTGATTTATTTCACTTAATGTTATGGTCTCAAATTGTGTCCATTTACCTAAAAGTGTCTCAAATTTATCCTTCTTAGCGGCAGAGTAGGACTCCATTGACTATAACTATCATTTTTTTATTCATTCATCAGTTATGGGCACATAGATCCTCAAGCAAAGCACTAATGTCTAGAATATATCAAGAACCCAAAAATGTTAGGCTTTCCCAAATTTAAAAACCCAATCCAAAAGTGGATATCAGAAAATACACCTTTTTAGACAATGTAGTCCAAATGGACAGTAAGTCTACGAAAAAATGTTCAATACTGCTGGCCACTCCAATGTTAATTTTTTGAACTTCATTTTCCTAAACAATTATCCATCCCACCCATGTTAAATCTGCAAAATAAACTCTCATTACATTTTTCTGTCTCAAAGTATACTCTTATCAAATAATTTCTTACCTGGTCTTTCAGACATCAAGAGTTTATTTATTTAAGTTATATTTTATTCCACTTTCTAACATTGCTTTTGATTTTATCTTTATTATTTCCTGTTCTCTATTTTCTGGTAGGTTTTTTTTGTTCTGTTCCAGCCTTCAGAGTTAGATATTTGACTATTTGAATGATGTAAATTTATAAGACTACATATTTTCTTCTTATATTTGCTTTAATTATTACCCTTGTACTTAATGTGCAATGTTATCATTATCGGTTTTTAGAAAACTTGAAATTTTAGTTTGTATTTCCCCTGGGGCCTTCAAGTGCCTCAGTTGATCAATTAAATTTTTTTAAAAGAGGTATTTTCAAAACAAAGTATTCCATTGGATAATAAATTCTTTTTCATGAGTATCTTCAGTCTATTGGGATTAGAATGTCTTTGCATTATCTTATTGAAATTATTATGGTTTTTGAACTATCATATGATAAATGTCTGTGAAGATCCTACATGTGTGAGAAGGATTCTTATCCATTAACGCTATGCAAATTTTAAATATATGACATACCTTGGTATTTGTTTGATTTGTATTTGATTGTCTTCCTTTATATTTTGCTACATTGATTTTGTCTTGGACTGTTGGTCCTTACCCTAGGGGTCTGGTCCACTAATTTTACTTTTTTTTTTTTTTTGTCTTTTTCATTTTTATCGGTACCAGGGATCGAACTCACGACTGCCTGCTTGCAAGACAGGTGCTTATGCCGTTGAGCTAAACCACCAGCCCCTCCACTAATTTTAGTATGTTATCAAGGATTTCCTGTAGTTCTAATCTATACTGGTGGCTACTGGGTTATTTGATACAGATATTCATAACTAAAACTCATGATGAATTTTGGTTTAAGCATTTTACGATGTCCTTCTTTGTCTCACATAATGCTTTAAAGTTCTGTGTTGCCTAATATTAATACTTCATGAATCATTTTCTTATTGTTTTCATTGCCTTTTGCTTTTTTGCATATGTAACTATTTTAGTCTCTCAGATTACTTTGTTTAGGTGTATCATTTGTGTTAGAATTCAGTTAGATTTTTACTTATGATTCATCCTGAAAATATCTTAACAGGTGATATCAACTCATTCACACTTTTTGAAATAATATTTCGTATTTCAATTGTGGTATTTTGTATTATTACTTATTTATGTGTTATTTTTATTTAGTATTGTTTTTCACATTGAGATTCTTTACAATTTATTTTGTGCTTGCAAAGTTTGTTCTACAAGTTATTTATATATAAATATCTGCACTGTAATTTCTTACTTAAGCTTCTAACATTTGCTTTTTTATTCTTTAAATGTTATAGTAATACTTCTGTAACAGTAATTTAACTTAACTTATTTCTTTTTCATTTCCTAGTCTATCTCCTTTAAAAGTTGTGTAAATCTACATTTTAAAAACCCATGTTATTTATTTTCTGGATGTAAAATCCATGGCTCATGTTTTTTCTCACAGGTTGACACTATTACCCCATGCTTATTTTGCACTTTGCTGTCAACAAATCTGATGTGATACTGATTTTTTTCCATTACAAAAGACAGGGTGTGCTGTCAAGAGTTTGGCACAATTTAAGAAAAAAATCTGTCAAGTCTGATAGTTTTACTAAAATGTCTGAGATTTGTCCAATCTTGGTTTATTTTTCCAGATACATATTAACCCCTTTGAATGTTTCTATTACTCTAGGATGGTTTTCTTGGCTTGTAACTTTACATATTTGTTGTGTTTCATCATTCTAGTTTTCATCTTTAAGGAGTTCACTGGAAATACCAGGAGACTCTGCTAACTCAGTGTGGTTCAAAATATTCCCTTCTTTTGGTATGATGAGGTCAAAATTTTAAAATAAATATATATCCAATTATATCTCTCTGCACAAGTATACATATATATTATATGTATATTCATTTTTGCATAACCATTATGTTTCTGTGAGCAACTTCTTATTCTTTATTTGGTTTTCCCTCGAGGATAATTTTATTTCTGTTTTCTATGTGCTTTAATGTATTTTAAATCATATTCTTCCTTAGTCACTTTTTAATTGACTTTTTACTTCTGAGATGATCTCATCTTTTCCTTTAATTTCTTTCTTGATTAAAGATATCTTTTATTGCTTGACTACTTCTACTTCTGTGTTTGAAATTCTGACTCATGATGTGCTTAGGTGCCACATACTCACTTTAGTGCTGTGTTGAAATTTTCTTTCGACTTGTCCCCTGTCTGCTTAACTCACTCTCCCTCTTGTTTATTCCTCTCTCCTTCCCTTCCTTTTTCAGTGGGGTAGGAAAATGTTTAATTGGAACAGTAATTTTTTTCTTTTTTTTTTTATTTAAGGAGAAAAGAAAAAAAACAGTGAAAGGGTACAAGTTATACAGATTTACAGAAGAAAAAATAAACAGTAGGAAATCATTAGTTAATGGATTACATATTGCCATCTTAGAAATAATTGTTCAAGTCACAAAATTAAAGCTTGTAGAGTGGACATTCCAACAATGATACTGCAAACAGTTCTGTTCAATGATCCAATAAAACTCTGTGATACCATTTTCTATCTTATACACTTAAATATACATGCAGTTATATAGTTTAGAGCACTTTCTTTTCCTCTCTTTTGTACAATGACTATTACACATTTTGGGTTTGGTTGCTCCCACGGTTCTTATTGCTTTTTTGGAAGAGAGTAAAACCAAATGTGACATAACAGAACAGAATCGGTCAAGTCAAAAGGGTGGACATAATAGATAATATAAAAACATAATACAAGGTGATCAACAATGGTTACCATAATGCCTCCCACTATCTCTAATAGAATTGCCTATATCATTAGTTATAATACAATTGAACAAAACAGTAAAGAACAAAACCGACAAAACCAAAACATTGGAGACATTGTAGGTCTTCAAAAGTAGATAAAAGTCAACGAGAATGGGGGTTATAATGAATCTCATTATCTTCACAGCTGGTGCCTAAACTTTCGAACCTGATACTATCCAGCAAAACAGAATAGGGGAACATCATTCAAAAACAAGATGGTGAGAGTAATACAGGGCTTCAAATCGAGATAATAGAAAGTCAAAGTGGGTTACTATATTATATCCTGCTATTTTTTCCCTTTAATTAAACGGATAAAAATAAAAAAGTAAATAATGGAGTGGAGATTGAGAAAAAAGAGGGCATAACAGCGAAACAGCGCAGATCAAAACATAACCATTTGAGCAGAATAGTGTTTCACCACCAGATAATTCCGACCCAAAAGTAGTTACCATATTGACTCTTTCCTTGAAGTCCTTGAGTACAACTTCGTATACTGTAGCATTAAGTATATCAAAACAATGTAAAACCATTTAAGAGAATGACAGCATTACAGAGTATTTAGAATCGACTAACAGAAAATGAACAATGGTTTCTGTATAATCTCCTTGTCTTTAAAAGGTTTTTGCTTATACTATCGTACATAATAAAATCCAATAAGATACAACCTGTTTAGACCATTGGAGACAGAAGAACAAAAGCTAGATGAGACTTCAAAACAAGATGATACTAAATCAGTATTACCTATTAAGATGTCATTTTCTCCAAAATAGCTGTTCCTATCATCCAATCTTCTCTGTCTCATTTCTGTTGAGCTCTTTTTCTGTCAGTATCTGTCAGTTTGTCTTCTTCATTTTGTTCTCTGCTCCATTCGTTGTGGCCTCCCCGCCACTATTTCTGGGTTCTTTGTATTTTTCTTTTTTTAGAATATCCTGCAATACTTTCTGTAGGTTGAATTGGTGGTTGCAAATTCCCCCAGTTCCTCTTTATCCTGGAAGCACCTTGTTTTTCCATCAATTTCTAGGGACAGTTGTGCAGGATATCTCAATCTTGGCTGGAGATTATTATCTTTCAAAGCTTGAATTATTTCCCCCCATGCTCTTCGTGATTTGATGGTTTGTGCAGAGAAATCTGCTGTAATTCTGATGGGTGTTCCCTTGTAAGTGGTCTGTTTCTTGTCTTTGACAGATTTTAATATTCTGTTCTTGTATTGAATTTCTGGAATTTTTATTATTATATGCCTGGGTGTTTCTCTGTTAGGGTTGTAGGTAGCTGCGGTCCTGTATGCCTCATACATCTGAGTATCTTTACCTTTTGCTAAATTAGGAAAATTCTCCTGGATTATTTCTGTGAGTAGCTTTTGTAGTTCACTTGTTTGTGTCCCTACTTCTTCTTTTATGTTCTTAATCCTTAAGTTATGGCTCCTCTTATCATCTTCTTGTCTTTGTATTATTGCTGTTTGTTTCTTTGTAATTTTTAAGAAGTTTTTCATTTCATTCTCCCATATTACAAGTCTGCCCTCCAGTTCAGATAGTCTGTCCTTAGTTTCTTTCAAGCTGTTATGCCAGTCTTGGGTAGACTTCTTAATTTCTTGATAGTCCCTTTGAACCTGCTTCACGTACTCTATGCTTTCTCTGTTTTCTCCATCAAACAATTCTCCCCTCTTTTTCTGTTCTTCCATTCCACCATCTGTTTTTTCCTGGGTGGTGCTTAGCATTTCTCTAACTATTCTGCATACTTCTAGCTTCAGGTCGTTGATAACTTCATTCCTGAATTGGTCTATGAGGCTCTCTGTATGGCGCTTAATGTCTATTGGTGCGGTGTCCGCTATTGCCTGTTTCTCAGGATTGGGGGCCGAGGAGCCTTTTTTGTTGCTTCCCTTCCCCATATTTTCTGTTCCTTATAAAATGCAATCTTACATAGGAGGCCCGGCTTCCCTGCCTGTCAGCCACAGCCTGATCAAATTGTGCTGGCTAGATGTTCCCGCCCACCGCTGCACACCAGGGAGTTACGGGCGAGGCAGCCTACGCGGGAGTCAGTCGCCCCTCCGGGCCACCGTCAGGCTCTGGGATCTGGGTTAGGCCAGTCTACCGAGTCTGCTAGCAGCATCACGCAGGCCAGGCACTTTTCACCAATCCCGTCTGAGAGGGGAATGTGTGGCTGGAGTCACCACCGTGCCCTGCTCTTACAGGACTGCCCGAGCCCAGAAAGTCCTCCGCTGGAGTTAAACTGTGGTAGAGTGTCAGTTTCTCTCACACACCTCGCCACAAGTCAGTGTACGCCTCCTTGTCCGTCCTGTTTTCAACTCCGTTCGCAGACTCCCGTTCCCAGAGCTTCTGCGCGTCTCTCCTTGCCGAGCCCCTGTGGAGGCAGCCAGCCGCCGAGCGGCGGGAAACCCAAATCGCGGTTTCCAATGGCGCGGGGTCCAGCCTCCACACTGAGTCTTTTCTGTTCCTATTTTAGCGCCAGGACTGCATTCCAAGTTGGTTTCTCTCAGCCCAGTTCATTCCTGAGTCAGCAGAGCATATCTCTACCGGCTCATGTCTCCTTAGTCCGCATCATTCCTGACTTCTGAGCCGAGCCTTTCAGAGAGCCTCCGGTAGTTGCTGTTGTCTGTCCGCCATGTTCTCCCGGAAGTGCGGAATAGTAATTTTACCTTCTAAAGGAGTTTGGTGCAGATTTAGGATAATGCACAAATCAGTGTATTTGATTTGCTCTTAAGTACACTTTTATTAGGTTGGTCTACACACTTCACATGACTCAGGAGAGGTTTATGGGGTCTTCACCCTCGTTGGGTCTCTCAGTTCAGAACGTTCTTTTGGTGTTGTAAAACGAAACCATTTCTGTAATAGGTTCAGGCCTCAGGAGATGGCAGATTATGCCCCATTTCTTTAGTGCTCTTGTTTACCCCGGACATTAACCTCAGTCACTTGCTTCCTGCTGCTCAATCTCAAGTACGTGAGTGCCTTTTCTTTTCCAGCATCCACCCTTTTTCTATGAACTGCCTCCTCCCAAAGACTGGATTGGTCCCCAAATACCTTGCCACTCATGGCTTCTACTTGCACAACCCTGTGCTGTTTCGTCCTCCACGCTGCAAAGGAAAGGGCCTTACTAGAGGATAATACTGAACTTGGTCCAGCCTACCATGCTTTCATGCTGACCCTCTGCCTTATGGAAAAGCCCAGACTGAGCTCTTGATCCTCCCTTCTCCGTTTCCAGAATCAACTCCATCTCAGCAGCTTCTCACACTGCCTCTCTCTCTTCCCTTTGAGCTCCATGTTTGTCACTCGCTCTGCCCTACGGGGCCCTTCTACTCCTCTGCTTGGTGATCAGACTTGTTTAAAACTCAACATCTCTAAAGAGAAATCCTTGCCCCCCACTCTGAGAGCCTATGCATGATTCTTGATGGTAATGACCATCTTCTTGTAACCCATTTACAGGCTTGGCTCTTGGACCAGGTGATTAATATTTGAGGAAGAGCTTTTCCACTCTGTGTCGATCTCCACAGCTTCTCCCTTAGGGCACAGCCTGGCCACCTGCTTTCTAGCAGGATGAGTCTATCCTTATCAGGATGTCGGCTGTCCATGCTCATTGTCACCTTGGGCTGCCAGCATAGCAATTCTGAGTGCCTGAGGGAGGAAATAAGAGGCTTTTGTTTATTTTTACCAGAAAGTTCCAAATCTCCCCATTTACTGACTTTCAGAATAGTCCCTAATATTTAGGTTGTTGGTGAGATTTTTTTTTCAACATTAGTATTTTATCAATATTATTAGTATGTATTTGTGATGTATAATGAATGGATTTATCATGGGGACTTAGTACACATTGCATCTTAGTCCTTTTACTTTCATTTCTCCTTTCTCTTCCTCTTCCTCTCTCTCTCTCTCTGTCTGTCTCTCTCCAGCCCTAGATCACCTACCTATCTGCAAAAGTGTACCTCCCCCATTTCCTATCATCTTTCTTTTATTTTACTGAGACTCAAATGAACTTCCAATTCAACAAGACTTAATTTCCTCAGTGATGCCCTGCTCTTCAGGGAGAAAAATTCAGATCGAGCATCCCTTTTAGGACAGATCAAGAAAAAAATCCTCAACAGTGCTGCTGTGGAGGGAAGAATATGTCTCCCTTCCTGGTCTGCCAGCAGATCTCTTCCTTTTGATAGTCCACAGGGTAGTCCTGGTGGTTTCTGGAAAGGTACATATGAGATTGAAACACTTCCATTAACATCTTAAATATCTAAGTGTCCATGTGGTGTTGTTACCATTTAATTTCGTTTAGCACAGCTGTATTTTTTAACTATAAAATGCAAATATAACTATGATTTTCAGTGTCCTTGAACATAACAAAGGAGGCTCAGTCTGTAAGGTTCCCGTGCTTCTGTCTTCCCCAGGGGAGATCCTGAAGCTCATCAAGGATGAGGGGTTTGAGCTGACTCAGTTGAAGGAACTGTACCTCACTCCTGAGCAAGTGGAGAGGATTTATGTCCAAATAGTAAACAAAGACTTCTACAAAGACGTCTTACAAGTACTATCTGAGTAAGTTCCTGATAACGTACATTACAGAAGTCCATCAATTTAGCAACTTGGAGAAATGTGAACACCCGGCCCACATTTGGTGTGTATTTATTTTCTTTTATCTTCTCTCTTTTCCCTCCTGCTCTCCTCCTTCTTTTCCTCCCTCCTTCCCTTCTTTCCTTCCATCTTCTATTCCTTTAGATCTTTATGTTCACTGTAGAGGCAATCTGACTTTAAATTCCTGCTTTGCTGGTATACTGAAGCAGTTCCTCAGCTTCTCAATCTGTCAGATGGGAATGAAAAAAGGACCTACCTCAAGTTTTGTGGTGAAGCCAAGTGCCTGATACAACAATCGCACTTGGAACAGTGTGTAGTGTATCTTAAGTGTTCAGTGTATGTTAACTGTCTTTATTCATTACTTCTTTTACATTTATGCTTACCTTATTAAAACCTTAAATGCATAATAGATGTAAGAAGTGTGGTCAAAATATGCAGTGAATGTTTAAAATTTAAAAATCCGTTACAGTAAAAGACACTATGGTGCTCCTAAAGAACTTTCCCCTCACTTTAAATACACAGGTCTCTGTTCTTACCACTTTATGAAGCAGTTCTGGAAGTCTTCTTTTGCGATGTCTTTAGTTGTTATGTTAGGGTTGTCTTGATATCCTAAACTAACTAAAAACATTAACCTTTCATGATCACTTTGACTTTAGGGAAGAGCCTGAATTTGCACAGTGCCGGATCTGGTGTATAAGGTAGATGAAGACACACTGTCAGGTTTTTGTAAACCTGGATCTGCACTGGATGGCACCGCACAGCAGTGTCCACCATGTCTTTTTTATCATCCCTGTTAAGACACTCCTGAGAGAGGACAGCCAGAGCTGCTTCACAATCAGACACTTATGATGGGGTTTGGTGGAAGTGAGGTAGAGCGATGTGAGAAAATCTAATGGCCACATGTCTTCTACTGTAATAGCTATTTAAATCTCAAATTTTCACCATCTATTTCAATCCCACCTTGATATAGTTACATGAATGTTATATACTGTGTTGGAACTTCTTCCTTCCACATATGGATCTGCTCCTGGAGATGTATCTTTGGAGGCATTGCAGAAGAATTGACAGCTAATATCTGTTGAATGTTTACTTGATTCCAGCTCCCTGGTGACCTACTTACACTTTATCTCTCATCCGATCTTCATGACAACTCCAAGAAGCACATTTGCCTAGAATTTCCACTTTGACTGTGTAAACAGAGGCTCAGGGTTGGGAATTGTCCATAGTCTTCTTGACTACGTGTTTGGTAGGACCCTGAACCCAGACAGTCGACATTCTTGACCGCTGCCCCACATGACTTTTCCAAGGAAGTCATAATGACTTGAAAACACTTTTTATCACTTTACTTTGAGTTTTAAAAAGTCTGACACACACATGTATTAATAAACCTCTTTACACAAAATGTTTCCTTTATAGACACTAATCATTTGACAATGAGTCTAGAAAGGTAATATTACAATTTTAAGCAAAGCATCACCCAACATTGAAGCAGTAATTAGATATTAGATACAAATAATACACAGAATCTCAGGAACTTTGAATAACTGCACCTTGATGATTTGGAAAGCAAAACTAACTTTCCAATCTTTTGTAGGCTGCATCCCCTGGAATCCAGATCCTGGTTAAAATTCATTTATTAAGGGAACTGTGCAGAACAGAGAAGAAAGATGCAGGGTGGGGGAGAGGGGAAAGTCCAGGGGCAGTGAAGTCCTGATGGCTGTTGTTGACCCATGGTTGGGTTGTGATACTGAGATAGCCAGGCTTTGGCATGCTGACCCTAGTCATCACTGGAAATAGTCTATCGGAATAAGGGTGGCCCAAGTCAGATGACTTCCTTTCCTAAGGGCAACCCTTGAAGAGGCTGAGTGGCACAGTTACCATGAAATCACAAGTCCATGACAATGTCTATGTGGCCCCCAAAGTAGTAAAAATAATGGGTTCATTCATAAATATTCTCTAGAATTAGTCTACAGTACTTACCTAGTACAAAAACCTGCTGGGAGATGGGAAAATGGCCAGAACAAAGCACAGAATCACACGGTTTAGGACAAAGAATAAAGAGAAGCTCCTGGGATGGGCCTGCCACACTGTATCTATCACCATGTTCACAGTCTGAACCATTGCAAATGGCCCACGTCTTCTCAAAGCATTGTCATTTGCAGGGGTCCAACTGTGGTCATGGTTCTGACCAAGTGGAATGCCATTGCAGACTGGAGACGGTTGATGGGCCCAGTAGACCCAGAAGAAGCAAAACTCCTGTCTCCAGACTCCATTCGAGCCCGCTTTGGAATAAACATCTTGAAAAATGGTGTCCATGGAGCAACTAATCTCTATTCAGTAACAGAGAGCATCAGTGCAGTATTTGGAGAAGATGCTGGGGAACAGTAAGGTATGTGCTATGAGGTATACTCTATGATCATTAGTGCTTTCTTTGTTACAGGGATTGAGTCTAGAGCAAGCCTCTCCTAAGAAAATTAAAACCTTCCTCTTATTTATGAATCAAACTTTGTTTCCTATCAGACACACCATGCTGACTTATAACAACCTCAAAGCCAAGCCTTATAATCCCAAGAGCCTATAGGTCCCAGGTGCCTGGAACAAGATATACACAGCTACAACCACCCTGCAGAGATGGGGAAAGTGGGGTACATGAGGAACCCTGAGTTTATAAACCTAGGTCTCAAGCCAGTAGTGTCATCTGCCCTGTTGTTCACCTCATCTTGTATGACCTGGTTCCTAACAGGCTATGGACTAGTATCAGTCTGTGGTCTGGCGGTTGGGGACCCTTGAGTTAGGCTATAATATATCCAGCTATTAAAAATAAATCAAATATTATATGTGCGAAGGTAAGTTCTAGCAATATATAGCTTGATCTATAGGTGTGACTCAATTTTAGACCAAGGTATGATCACACAACCCTTGAAAGTTCAGGTTGGTAAAATTTGTGTTGTACAGTTGTCTTGAACTGTGGGTGCTTGGTTAATACAAAACTGGTTGAATGGAGGTTGTTGCATGCAGGGACAAAGCAGGGGAACGACAGAGGAAGAACGATTGGCAAAAGGGAGCACTCTCAGTGGAGCTCCGTTCTGGTTATAGCTTCTGTTAGCAGGGAATCTCCTAATACCTGTGCAGTCCTCCTTTCTGTGGCAGAGGGAGAATTGTGACTCACTTATTTAGGGGATTTCTGAGTAGTATATTATTCAATGCTGACTTGTTAGGTGTATTGTTGATGAGTAGGAACTTATCAACAGTTAGGTGAACTATTGATGAGTAGGAACTTGAGAAGGTAAGGAATGGAATAGACCATGGGTAAGATTTTTAAAATCAGAGGCAAGCCAGGCATGGTGTCATAGGGCTATAACACCAGCACTTGGGAGGCTAAAACAGAAAGACTGCCATGAATTCAAGGCCAGCCTGGGCTACACAAGAGAGTTCAAGAACAACCTGAACTACAGAGCAAGACTCTGTTTTTTAAAAAAAATTGTCAGTCAATCAATCAATGAGACAAGAATGTGAATTCAGTTTGTAAATTTTCTCAACAGTCATCTATCTCTATAGTGCTAAAGATTTACTTGGAGTCTTTGCTAGTCTCTGTCTTGCCATGTGCACTTACTGTATTATGTTACTCTGAGGCGGGGTGTTAGATCTGTTTGAGACTCTGAAAAGTCATTTGTGGAGATCTTGCTAGATACAGGAGACAGCTGCAGGCCCTTGTGCTAAAGCAAATTTCAAGTCTAAGAGCAGGAGATGGAAACTGAACATGAGTCCCAGGGTTAGGGTAATTAGCTTGACTGCTCTGGGTAGAGGCACAGAGGATGAGGAGGAATAAGATGCAAACTGTTAAGGTAGAGGTATGATGATAATCAAGGTGAAGGATTGCAGAAGCCTGAGGTAACATGGAAACGTGGGTGTAAGTGGGGCAGGAGGAGAAAATGAGTCTTAATAGGCTGTATAACCACCTCACCTAACAGATGGGACTGCATAAAGCTTACTGTCTTGATTAACTGAGAGAATAGCATAACCATCCCTAGATGGAGGATTCAGAAGACAGAAGGTAATACTGTGGGGTGTTTTGTTTTTGTTGTGCTGGGTAGAGAATATTGGAATTGGAAGTCACTTGTTTCTCAGATCAGAGAACCAAGAAGCTTCCACTGGAACCATGTCACCAAAACATGGTGCAGCAGCTGCCTGCATCCATCCACAGAAACACAGAAGAAATAGCCAGAAATGTCAGAAGCTTTCTTTCCAGAAATTTAGAAATAAACAATTACATAAATATAGGAATGTTCAATCCAAAGAGAATCAACTTGAAGCAGGTTGATGACTTGGTGACATTTTTACCTTGACATTGTCTCACTATTTTGCTAATTGGCGACAGTCTGAAAGGTCACCCCAATGAGAGACATTAATGTCTGGTGCCAAGAGGCTAAGAGCGGATCTCACGAGTTCTTGTGTATGTCTGTGTGTCTGTGTGTCTGTCAGGCCTTTCTCCAAGCTCCCACTGAGCTAGACTTTCTTGTCTGTTCCAGCCATTTGGGAAAGTGTTCAGGCTCAAAGCAAGGGGCACACTGGAGAGCATCTTTAAATGATTGAAAAGTCCCCACCCCAGTTCTTGGGGCCAGAGATTATGGCTGGGACATATGATAGATGAACTGAAATCAGAGAGAAGATAGAGAGGGAGACAGAGAGAGAGAGGGAGAGAAAGGGACAGAGAGAGATTGAGATTCTTTGGGAAACTGGAGCATTCAAAACCACTGGTGCACATTGAGGAATCTGTAAAGTCAAGCAAATACCCACAACACGATGTATGCTCTGAAAGGATCATAAGTTTTCACCACTTATAAACAGGATATAAACAGTAAAAAAATAAATCAAAAATTAGAATTGTCAGTGCCTAAGCATTAAATAAGTGTTTCAGCACATAATCTGCAAAACACTAAAGGAGGTATTTTGTTGTTATTTTTTGAGCTGGCTTTTAAAGAACTGTGTATAAATTAAATCTTCACCAATCAAGAAGGGCAAATCCTGGAAAAGAAGGAAATACAATTTTAAAACTTAAAGCTGGACATGATGCCACACACCTGTAATCCTTACAGACAGAAGGCTGAGGCAGGAGGATCACTGCAAGTTTAATACCAGTCTGAGCTTCAAACTGAGCTCAAGGCCAGCCTAAATTACATAATTGTCTCAAAAAACAATTTTAGAAATCCTTAAGTTATTATTCATATTTGATTGCTAAAATTTAAGAATGTTATTGTAATTCCCAAGGTAACCACTAGGAAAAGGACTAAAACAATTACTAAAGATTTACAAGAGACTCAAAATGTTGCCCCACCCTCATTAAAAAAGAGGTAATAAGAGAATCACTGAGGGAAAAAGTATATAGAACAAAACAAACAAAGCAATAAGTTCATCTTACCTAGAAATTACTTTAAATATAAATGCAGTAATTAACAAAGACAGAGATTGACAAAATGAATTAAAACACACAGTCCATCTAGACGTTGCTGCCAAAAACCCCTTAGAGCCAAAGACAGAGGCCAAAAGCAGAAGGATAGAAATGTATATTTCACACAGATTGTAACTAAGAGATATGGAGTGTTTTATATTATTATTGTAAAGACATGTTTTAGATCAAGAAACTTACAAGTAGTATAAGGAACACTAAATATTAAAAAAAAGATTTTTCCATCAATACAGCAATTACAAAATGATATGCACATAAAACCAGAAAACTAAATAGTACTACAAGAATAACTGGAAACTTTAATTCTCCTCTTTCAGTAATGGATACAAAAGCAAACCAGAATGTCAGTAAATAAATGGCGAGTGTGAATAATAGTATAGACCAACCTAAGGTCACAGATATATGGATCGCTCCATCCTTAAAAGATAAAATATACAGTCTTCTTACTGGCATCTTTTCCAATTACTATGCAGTTAAGCTCAAAATCAATAACAGAAAGATACTGGAAAGCTCGTAAAATTCTGGAAATTATGCAATATATTTCTAGAACAAATGAGCTGAAGAAGAAAATGCGTGTGCGCACGTGCACACACACACACACACACACACACACACAACTAGAAAATACCTTGAGGGCAAATGAAAGAGAAAACAGACAAGTTAAAATATTATGGGATATGTGCTGATAAAAGAATTTAGAACTATAATTGCATTAAAAAGGAAAATAAAATCAATAATATAAAGTTACAACTTAATGATCAAAAAAGGAGTTAACTAACCCAGATTTACTAGGAAGAAGAAAAGTAAGTATTAGATGGATATCAATGAAGTAAAGAATAGAAAATATCAGTGAATCTAAAATACAGCTCTTTGCAAGAATCAATGAACTTGTAATGCCTCTAGCTGTATCAGCCACCCCCACACTTCCAAGCACCAGGGTCAGGCTTCTTGGAAGACAGCTTTTCCAGAGACTGAACGTGAAGGTGAGGGTAGTTTCCAGGTGATTTAAAGGAGCTCGGATCCCTTGCTTGCTCCGATGGTTGTCTTGTGTCTATGGCACCCTTCTTCCTGAGCTGCTCTGACAGGAGGCAGAATTCAGGTAAGTGGTGGGGAGAGCCGTCAGTAAAGATGCAGCTCTTTGCTCACCTCTGCTGAGCTGTGGCCCAGTTCCTAACAGGCTGTGGACAGCTACAGATCCATAGCCCAGGGGTTGGGGACCCCCAAGCTGGGTTGACCTAAAGGAAAAAAAAAAGAGGATTAAGTTACTGAAACCAGAAGTGAAAGGAAAGACATTACCACTCACTGCACAGAAATGAAAAGAATTGCAAAAGAATACTGTGAACAACAGTGTGTCAACTGATTGGATAAACTAGAGGAAATATACAAACTTCTAGGAAGCTGTAAACTACCAAAACTGACTCATGAAGAAATAGAAAAGTCTATAAGGAAGTTAAATCAGTTAATGGAAAACTTAACAAAATAAAACACCAGGTATCTTCACTGGTGAATACCATGAAAGTGATAAATATTACTGTCAAGCTTTCCAGGAAAAATATCAAGGAGGAAAGAACAATTCCTAACTCAGGCTGAGTTAGGAATTGTTCTTTCCTCCTTGATATTTATGTGAAGCATAATTACTCTAATAATAAAGCCAGATGAAAGCCAGATGTAAGAAGTCTCTAGAACACACCTTATGAGTACTGATGTCCCGATACTCAATGATATACCAGTAAATTGAATTCAACACTATGTCAAAAGGATTATTCACCAAGAACAAGTGATATGCTAGAAATGCAAATGTGTTAAAATGTGCTAATATCCACGCAATACATCATGAAGAGAAAAATACATCATCTCAAGTAATGATACAGAACACTCAGTAGACTAGAAGTAGAGATGCATCAGTGTGAGAAATTTTATGTTTGAAATCCTGCAGCTACAGTCTATTCAGTGATGGGAGACTGAAAGCTTTTCCTTTACGATCAGAAACACTCTGAGACCTTCCTTGCCTTTGTCAGTTCTACCATATTAGAAGTTCTAACTGTGGGAATCAGACCACTAAAGAAATAAAAACATATGGATTTGAAAGAAAAAATAAAAATCTCTTTATTAGCAGATGACATGATCTAATGTACGGAAAACCCTGAAAACACACACACATGCACACGCACTCACGGGGTGGGGGGGAATTTAAGAGCTAATCCAGCAAAGGTTCAAGATACAGGGGCTGGGGATTTAGCTCAGCAGCTTAAGTGCCTGCCTTCCAAGCAGGCAGTCGTGATTTCGATCCCCAGTACTGGTGAAAAGGAAAAAGACAAAAAAAAAAAAAAAAAAAAAAAAGATACACAAGCAACATGTAAAGTCAGTTATGCTTCTCTGTAGTAGCAATGAAATATCTGCAAAAGAAAGTTAGGAGAATAATTCCACATGGCATAGCATCAAAAAGTGATGGCTTTTGTAATAACCAAGGGGTCACAAAATATGTTTACTCAAGAAACAAATTTTTCTGGCAGAAACATAAATAGGACACAAATATATGGAAAGAAATCCTGTGTTCATGGGTTGGGAAACCTAATATATTTAAAATGACAATACTTCCCAAGCATTCAAAGCAATTCAAGATTCAAAGCAATTGTTTGCAAAATTTCCACAACTTTTTTTCCCCAGAAATGGAAAAAAAAAAAACTAAAATTTACATAAACTGTTCAGGGACTCAGAAGAGCCAAGAAATTCTTGAAAGAAGAGAACAAAGTTGGCGGCCAGGCGTGGTGGCTCACGCCTGTAATCCCAGCACTCGGGAGGCTGAGGCAGGAGGATTGTTGCAAGTTCGAGACCAGCCTGGGCTACAAAGTGAGCTCAAGGCCAGCCTGAACTGCATAACAAGATCCTGTCTCAAAAAAGACCAAAAAAAAAAAAAAAAAAAAAAAAAAAAAAAAAAAAAAGAGAGAGAGAGAGAGAGAGAGAGAGAGAGAGAGAGAGAGAGAGAACAAAGTTGTAGTATTTCCACTCCTTGTTTTCAGAACTTACTACCAAGGTACAGTCATCAAAACAGCATGATAGGGGCTTCTAGATAGACATAACCAACAAAATAGAATTGAAAGCACACAACCTTCCCATCTATGATCATTTGATACTCGACGAGTGAGCAAGCTAGTGGGAAGAAAGTAGCCTTTTTAATAAATAAAGTTAGTAAGACTAGATACCCATTTTTAAAATAATGAAGTTAGACCCCACATCATACGCAAAAATTATCTCACCATGGATAAAAAAAAATGCATGTGTAAAAAGCCAAAATTACAAAACTCTTAAAGGAAAATCTTCAGGACACTGCATTAAATACCAGTTTCTTACCTACAACAACAATGACAAAGACAACAAATGAAAAGTAGATAAATTGGATTCATCAAAATCAAATTATTTGTGCATCAAAAGACACTCTCAAGAGAGTAAAAAAGTCAATGTATAATGGGAGAAAATGTTGCAAATCATATAACAGAGACTAGTTTAGTACCAAAACAAGATACAAATGATGTGGAAAATACTGTAGCAGTGCCCCCTAAATTTAAATACAGGATTATTTTATAACCCAGAAATTCTACTTTTAGGTATGTACCCGACAGAACTGAAGGTGGAACCCAAGGCATATGCTTATATATCAGTGCTCATTAGAAAATGAGTCACAATAGCAAGGGCCAGACAAAACCCAAGTGTCCACCTACACACGACCGCATAAGCAAACACTGTGATATTCGTTGAATGAAATATTATTTATCTCTGTAAAGAAATAAAGTACAGATACTTACTACAATATGGATGAGTCTTAAAAACAGTTTGCTGAATGAAATATGTGAGAGACAAAATGACAGACACTGGATGATGGCAGTCACATGAGGTACCCGGAACAGGCAACCACAGAGACACAAAGTAGTTTACACATTACTTTCTGGAGACGAAGGAAAGGGAGAGGAGCTGGAAACTTCTGGTTCATTAGAACAGCATTTGTGTTCTGGGTGCAAAACAAATCACAGGAATAGTTACAATGTGAATATAATTAATATCACTTGTTTGTATACATAAATTGTTATAATGGATATGTATATGTGTATGTGTATGTGTATGTGTATATGTATATGTATATATATTTGTATATGTATATGTATATGTAAAGAATCAGGTAAAATAAAGAAAATGGTCCCCTAGGGAAGCACAAAAACCCCTTGCAACATATTTCTCCAAATTAACCCCTTAAATTATAGAAACTTAGGTTTATCGTATGACATTTTTAAAGGAAAATGAGGCCATTCACAGAGCAGGGATAGAGAGAAGAAGGCCACACCAGGAAGCAAGCCCAGTCTGGGAACCAGTGCCATGCACGGGCCAGACTGGAACAGACAGACCCCAGCCCTTCTGGCTCACGGGCTGGCAAACAAGAAGTACCAACCTGCCCTGCCCCACCGTAAGTGACAGGCTTATCCAGAGAAACACAGGCTGTGATGATAGCTGTGGAGCTGAAGTGCAGTTGGATGCTGGTAGTGCTTTGGTGTTTCTCTAACATTGCAGGTCTATGGCCAGTGGTCCAATCTTAGGTTCAGAGGATAGAGGTACGCAGTGCCTTCTGAGGGTTGCAGCCATTGTTAATTCCCTGTGGTCTTGTTTTGGAAATCCTGTATTGTTGTCATTGTTTTGTTGGGTTGGGTTTTATTTTTGTTTTGTTTTGTTTTGTTTTGCTTTGCTTGACTATGTCAAATCCCATGGCAAGAGCAGCTTTTTAAAAGACATCAAGATATATTATGATAGCAATTTTGGGTTTACTATTGGCTTGCTTTGAAGTCCTTTATTGCATTTGTTGTTTCGTTTTTATTGTTTCTATTCTATCCTGCTTTGTTTGATTGTTACTATCTGAAGTTATCTGCAGCTATTTTGAAGATATCAAAAGGCATGGTAACTATGATTTTGTAATGTTTTGAAGTCCTCTGTCTCTTACACTGGTTTGTTTTGATTAGTTTTATTCTATTGTATCCTCTTTCGAATAAAATTTAGAAAAATAAAATAAGGGAAAATGAATATAATACTGACATCAAAACCCTTAGAAGTAAGTCCATTAATAAAGCTGTTGAAGAGACAGCAAATCAAAGAAATATTTGTTCGAACCGTGTAATAGCAACCATAGCAATACATCCCTAAAACTTTCCCCTGGGTACCTCTGCCCCAAGGCCCACTGGACACCCTGAGCTGGAGCCCATCCCACCCCAGCCTTTCCACTTGTGCCATAAAGCTCTGCCCAGTCAGTCCTGTTGTCCTTGCAGCTCTTTCCAATTCCCTTCCTTTCCTGTGGCTTAGCCAGCAATGGTGAGTCCTTGAATAAAATGCTGTGCTGACTGTGGCCCAGCTCCTCCTGCAGCTCAGGGATTTCTGTTCACACCTTGCTTGTGCACACTCTCAACTGCCATAGAACTAGCACAGAACACTGCCATTTGTTAGATCAAGTGTATTCTTTTCCTAGGACATTGAGAAGATAATATGCAAAGTCCCTGCAGCATACAACCCTATGGCACAGCTTCCAGAGAAGAACGAGGAGGAAGATGTTCTTTGGAGCAAAACCCATTTCAAGGTGAAAAAGTGGATGAAGAAGCACAGTAACAATAAAAACAAATAAATATCAACGGTTATTTATGCCTTGTCTTTGAGAAAGGGCTTATACAAATGCACAGTAAAAGCTACAAGAAAATAGTCCAGGGAGCGGAGAAAAGAATCCATCAAGTGGAGCGACCCACAAAATGTACATTGAATCTCCTGATGTATGTTTAACTCTAAATTTTCCAGCAGAAAACTCAGAGATAGTGAAATCTATGTAGTTTGTCATCTCACTGTACCACAGCCTATGCCAGTGCCGGGGAACCTGTGGCGTGCGTGCCACAGCAGGCATGCAGACCCCTCTCTGTCAGCACTGCAGCCAGATTACCGCAGCATTGCCCTAACAGCCAAGCATCAGTTTTAGTGCAGTGTTGGCACTCTGAGATAAGGAAATGAGGCTTGGATTGCAGATTGGGCACTTGGTCTCCAAAGCCTGCTTGCTGGCGTAGGCATACGATGACAAAAATATCTCTTGCATTAGGAGATGGTGAGCCCAAATTGTTTTGACCTCCTTGCAGGTATAATTTAAATGATGTTTTCCATAGTAACATGCTCTTCAGCTTGCATCCAGGGACCTGTACCACGTCTAGCATATAAGCTCAGATAATCTCCTGTCCATTGCATTTACGGGAACGCGTTAGGGTTGTGAGTGTGAGAGATGCTGTGCAGTTACCATTCCCTAAACCCTAATACCAGTGAAATTAAGAAGCAGCTGGAATGGCACCGCATGCCTATAATCCCAGCACACTGAGAGGATGGGGTGGGAGGACCCAAAGTTTGAGCTCAGTCTGGGCAATTTAGGGATTTAGTGAGATACTATCTCAAAAAAGGGCTGGAAATATAGCTCAGTGAAAAGGTTCTGGATTCAATGCCCAGTACTACAAATATTTCTATGACAGAGAGCTTTTCACACTATGAACATCGTGTGTTAGTAGGAAATTACACCAAAATTGGAGTGTTCCAACGCTATTTCAGATGTTTAAGAAGCACACCTGTGAACATTGTCAAATTATATAAAATATGATTACAAATTACCACGATTGCTCAATCCTTTTACAAAATGCATATTTTCTTTTTAAAAGATAGTGGCTCAGTGATTGGCTTTCTTTGTATTATGTAGAGAAAATAAATATAGTAGAATCTTCACCCTCCGTGATTCCTGTATCATTCCCATTACTCCTGGTTGAAGACGGTTTTCTGCTGCTTTGCAGGGTTAGATTGCATCTGGTGGTCTCTTATAGGGTGGTGTTCTGTGGCACCCGTCACTGGCTCAGTTATCATCCAGAATTTTGAAAGCATTAAAACTCACTTAAAAGTAATATCACATTTCACCAGCAGATGGCAGTCTCCACTAAAGTTTGGGTAATACGTGGCAACAGCAGTACATACATTGTATATGAAAGATACAGAGAAAGGCAATTTGGATTCAGGCAAATAGAAATCTAAATACCCAAAATGACATTTACCATTGCATCCCAAGGGGAAATTCACCTTTAACTTTTAATAGACTGCTTCTGGGACAGATTGAATTTAGGGGGTGAGACACAAAAGCGTGAGGCACGTATATGAGGAAGGAGCCCGCGAGATTTGAAGTATGAAGTATGTTTTGTGTGTGTGTGTGTGTGCATGTGCGTGTGCGTGTGTGTGTGTGTTTGAGAGACAGAGTCTCACTGTGCAATTCAGGCTGGTCTTGAGTTCACTTTGTAGCCTAGGCTCTCCTCGAAGTCTCAACAATCCTCCTGCCTCAGCCTCCCGAGTGCTGAAACATATTCTTTCCCCAAGAGGAGAAAGATTTAAAAAAAAAAAAAAAAGTCTAGCAGATTCTGAGAGCCCCAGCTGAATGAGCTGGTTCTGAGTTTCAGCAGAAAAGCAGCAAATCTGAATTCTCATGGTGGAGACCTGGGAGGGCTGCAGGATATCAGGAAAAGCCTGGAGCAGTAGGCTTGCATTTGCTGGCATGGTAAAGCACATTTGGTGGTGGGAATGTGGGAAAAATACAGGATGGGATAAAAAAAAAAAAAGTGGTCAGTGGGACACCTGGGCAGGAAGCACTTCTGTCCCAATGGGGACAGAGCTGGGGAGGAGGTCTGCAGCCTTAGGAGGCCCCAGGCAGAATGGTACCCACCCCTTGTAATGGTCCAGTCATGTACCTTGACCCTGAAGCCGGAGTCTCTGATGGCCCAGTGTTAGTCAGCTTTCTGTCCCTGTAAGAAAATACCTGGGAGAATTAAAAAGGGAAAGTCTCATGTTGTTTTAGGCTTTCAGAGTCTGTGGTTGGTTGGTGGATCCCATTGCTTTCGGACCTGGGATGGGTCAGGACATCACGGTGGGTGGTGCAACAGCTCACCTTATGGTGTCATAGAAGTGTCAGAAAAGTGGAAGAAGAGGCACTGGGGCCCGATATCCTTTATGTAGATGCATTCTCAATCACCTGACTTCACCCCAGCAGGTCCCAAGAGCACCATGAATTGGAGTCAAGCCTTTGACATGGGGCATTGGGGGACATTTAAGATCCAAGCAGCAGCAGTGTCTTGAAACCCCAGGCAAAACAGGACTCCTTGATTAGAGCCAAGTTGACTCCTGTGCACAGGTACCTCCTGTAATCAGATGGCCTGCAGAAAATGGAAGGATTTTAAGGATTTTGCACACCATACCGTCCTTGGTATCCTGGTTTGCAAGCTTGCCTTTCTTGGAGACTTTCCTTCTCACAAAGTGGATCTCCTGATAGGATTTGCCTGCCTGAACCGTGTCTGAAATTGATCACTTGCTGGAAGCCACTCTGGCTGACCTCCAAAGCCAGATTTTTATGCTTTCAGTAAAGGAAAAAAGTTGACTCAGCAATTGTACATATGATTTTCAGCTGCTACACAACTTCAGTGACACAAGAAATATCTGAAATTACCAGAAGACTGAAGGTGTTAAGGGATTATAAAATTCTATCAGTTTGATTCAACAATGGTATTTTAGATTTCCTTTGGTTCTGTGATAGAATTTTATTCATAATAACCTGTTGGTTTTTTGCTTTACCTCAAGCTCCTTATACAGCATTATATTATTCAAGTTCTTAAAATTTTGAGAGATTCAGTAATAATTCTCAAGATAAATTAAACTGCTAATGTAATATATTCTTTTCTTTTTTCAAAGTTTGCCATTTAAGTGACCTAAACTGATCATTCAAAAAATATATTAGACTTAATGTTTGTGCTCTTTGAGTGCAAAAAGACAAAAAAAGAAATATATCATGGACTTTGTTACTGTCAGTGATTACCTCCTGAAGTCCTCACATTCTAGTAAAAAGAGTGTCTTGTAGATAAATGAATAGATACTGGATGATCTATAGTTGTGATAAATAACTTTTTCTCTCTTCAATAAACTCAAAATAGAGAAACAAAGACCTGTGAAGATATAAAAGTCTTTAAGGTTCAGAAACACAGACATTTTGTTGTTAACATCATCACTTTACAGATTGTGCTGGAAATATCATGGTAAATTTGTAATATTTTTATGACTGTCAGACTGTGATTGTCATGAGAATCTGAACCATCAACCCCAGGGGCCATAACTGAAAAGGATTCCAGCTGCTGCGTCTAAAGTCTATTGTCACTTGTTTAGGGAGGTCACAGTACCAGGTTACTCCTATTCAGTGATAGCATAATGAAACCCGTGGGCACGGCTGTCCCTGGGAGACGGCTCCCTTTGGTTTAATGGATGACTTTGGCTGAAGCCTCCCCAGCAGCCTCTCCAGATCCCCCTTGGGCAATATGTGCAATTTAGAATGTCCCATCTCATCTTTGCCATCTGTTACCTTCCCTCTGGGTGGACATGCATCATGTGTGATGTCTCTCCTGGCCTTCCCAAGTCCTCCAATCCTCTCAAAATCTTCCCTTCTGATGCAATCCTTGCATGTTTACCTCCATTTTGGAACCTGCTTCTCTAGGACCAGGCTAGCATGCTCACCATCAATGAAATAATTTTAAAATTTTCACGTCTCTATGGCTTCAAACAATAGTACTTTCCATTTTGCTCTCCAATAACACTTCAATAATACCTTATAATTACAAAAGTATCACATGTTCATTAAACAACATACATATGGTATCAGAAGCCTTTTTTGGCAATGTAGGTAGCTTTGAAATTTCTTGCATCTGGTCATCAGTGATGCATTGTTAACATATTAGTGCAGATATGGATAATAGAATAATCGAATTACAACACAACCATTAACTAGGTTATATTTTACAGACAACCTGATACCACCCCCGTGAGTGGTCGGGGGTCAGGATTAACTACAGTAGTCATGGGTTTGATGGCTCCTTCAGAATTGCCATGGAGGGCAAGATCAGGAATGTGAAGACACAAACTTGAATTAGAGTTGTGGTGAACTCAAGAACAGTGCTTAAGACAAAGATGACACAAATACATAAATAAAAATATAAATAAAAAATAATGACAGTTGGGAGGTTAATGGAACAAAACCCTTTGTGCCTATTACTCTTTGTGTCTTTTTAATTTTCTTCTTCTGGTCTTGAGATTTTGGCAACAGTGGAAGATGATGTGTCACAAAAATCTGTCCTACTTTGTCATGCCTTGAGAGTGCATTGGAAGTCCATTCATACAAATCGTTAGAGAAAATAAGCTGTTTCATTCATAAGATTTTGATGCTGTATTATCAATTCATTCACCAAACCAGGGAAAATGTCTGGAAAGATACACACCACAATGCTAAACTTGACCTGTGAAATAACTTTGATATTTTGGGTGGTTTTTTATTTAATCTTTTTTTTTTTTTTTTTTGGTCAGTAACTTAATAATGAAAACAGAAGATTTCTTTGCTATCCTAGGATCAGACATCTCCTTTGGGGTATTAATATTAAAATAGACAACCTATCCCACATCCTCCACTGATCAGAAGCTGGCCTGACTCCTTATCAATTAAGAGATAAAGTTAGCAATTAATGTTTAGGTGGATGTGCTTCTCAAGTGATGAATAGGTCTTTCAGAGTAAAATGCTCCTCGAAAGAATTTCCCCTTTAGGAAATATGATCAGCGTTAGCAATACCAGATGATAATCAAATGCATTTCTAGGGTAATAAATAAGAATTCCCTTTCAATGCCCAGATTTGTGTTGCAAAATCATCAGTGCATGATTTCATGGTGAATTAAAACTTAACTCTAGGGTACAGCTCTTTCTCACTCTGTGTGAGACGTCAGACAAGTCCTCCCGCAACCTGGCTCCAGTGAAACAGACTGTAACTTCATGTCATCATCGCCAGCACTGTCACCTCTTACACTGCAACAGCAGGTGGAGACTCTTGGTCCCAATGTACCTTTTGTTTTTACTCAGGACTTGTTTTCCCCAAACAGTAGCACCCTTGAGCTGGTACAAGACAAGGAGGTTATTGAGATAATGCAATAGAAAATTATAGATATTGCAGCACAGAAATCAAAAGTGTGGTTAGATCAGAGAGTGGTTTCGAACTGGAAAGTAAGGATAAAGCCTGATAATACAAGTTGTCATGTACCTCACGAAAAGATTTGTGCAGAAGGAAATCTTTTTTCTTTGACACTCTCTGATTCTTCTGATTCTCTAGTTAACAATTTGTATTATTATATTTGATACTTCACAAAATTGAGGAGATACTATAGGCTTTTCCCAGTAATTGAGAAGTCAGTCTTGTCAGTCTATCTATCTATCTATCTATCTATCTATCTATCTATCTATCTATAGCACGTATATATTTAGCTCTATCTACCATCTACATACTCACCTACCTACCTATCAACCCATCGATTTATCTATGGATGGCATTCCCTTTTAGATATCTAAGCCTTCATTTACGCAGCTTCCTGGGTGTTGAAAGCATGGAAAATGTGGTAGCTAGTGGCCCACCCATTAAAGGAATAAGTTCATGAAAGAGTGTTTCTTGTGCCAAACTCACATGTATAAAATTATGGAGGAGTGGAGTTTGGAAAGTCAGACTTTGCACGTTCAAGTGGTCCACAGCATGATGGACAAAACCGTCAAGAATTTTTCATATTGGGCATATTCCTTGGCCCAATATGCTACTTCAATAAAACTATCGCAAGAAACTAATTAAGGACATGGACAGACACTTAGCTCCCCAGATGTTTATTAAGTATGTTTACTTAACCTAAATGCTCAGCAGCATAAGTGTTTGTTCAAGGATACATACCACAGAACTCAACACAGTAACTAGAAAAGACAGTCAGCTTTGTTGTCATGAGGACTAACCTCAGTAAAGAACTGGGTTAAGGAGGCTTTCAAACACAATGCACAAAAGGCTCCCACTGTTATGTTTTTTGAATCACTATGTAAATGCATGGGAAGCACCTGAAGAATTACACACCAGCAAGTAACCCTGATTACCTGTGTGTCCTGGTGAGTGGCATTAGGTAGGACTTTAAATTACTTTCTTTTGATTCTGTGCATATTTAGTGCTTACATAGAATACATGTTTACTATGGTATTAAGAGAGCAAAAACACTGTGGGATTTTGTTTGTTTGTTGTAAAAAGGCACGGCCTCCAGTTACCCAGTTTTACATTTGTCAATAAATTATTGCAAAATGCTTTTCCTGATTAAAAAAAATCCCAAGTACGGGGCTGGGGGATTTAGCTCAGCGGCATAAGCGCCTGCCTTGTAAGCAGGCAGTCGTGAGTTTGATCCCCGGTACCAGAAAAAAAAAAAAGGAAAAAGCAAAAAAAAAAAAAAAAAAAAAAAAAAAAAATCCCAAGCACTTCAATTCTTCTTTCCGTATGTTTATATTTATCTCCCTACCCCACCCTCCGCATGTATTTAGGTGAAGAAAATATTTTCAGTGAGAAAACCAAACTTAGGAAGCTCACATGAAATCATTCCCACAACTGGTCTGTGTTGTCTCAGGATAGGTTAGAGCTTACCTTTCACTTTTCATAATAACCAGTCAATGGCTTGGTTAATCTATACCCCAATCAAACTCATGAAGGTGACTAATTTAGATATGATTTTGTGTAATAGAATATAATTTCAATAAAATATTCAATGTAAGCTTTGCTTAGATTTGTAAAGCCATTCGTACATCTTTATTATATTCAGTTTTGCTCTATAAAACATTTACATGTATTTCCTCCTTTTCTACAGAGTAGCGTCTTCCATGTTGATTCCTCTCCCCCGCCCCCATGGAATTGCTAATTCCTAAGGGAGTAAAATAGGTTATCCATGGTTTTGCATGGCTTTTGCAAGAGTCTTTAAGTTTGGATGCTATGCAGAACCCCTAACAGGCTTTCCTTAGGGACCAAAGAGGTTTGGTTTATTTAACAAGACCACAAGCTGAGTTTATTGATACCCTCACGTGGGTGCATCTACTGGGTTTATTTAGCTCCATCACCCTGTGGTGGCAGCCCTGGCTGAAGCTTTCAGAAGGCTCTAGGTACGCACAACAGATTTCTTATTGATCCTACTTCTGTTTCCACTTGGACTTGCACTCATATTTTACTTTTGAGTCCCAGTGACAATAAAGGTGAAATCAAATCATGTCTTAATCATCTTATGTGAATGGAGCATGTTTACTTACCCTCCTCTGAGGAGCAGAGATTACGGCAACTCTCCAGGGCACATAACTCAAGCTTTCTGATGGTTCTGCTTCCTCAATACACAGCAAGTGGACAAGTGGATCTCTGTCCACCCTCATAGGCACAAGGCTGGTGTGTGGTGGCTGTCATGGTCTGAGAACCAGCCTGGGAGCTCTTGTACAGCCCCATAGGCATTGCTTTAAGTGCCTGCATTTGCAGAGAGAAAGTTCTCTCCAGTTTGGCAATCAGAACACTGGAATGTCCCAGCAGTCTCATATCTCATCTGTGGGTGTAAAACCCTCAGGGCTGACTCACGCATTGGTACCTACATAATAATGGGAAAAACAAAGTCCCCATTCCGGCTCTTCATAGAAGATATTGACAAGAAGCATTGTGATCGTGGGATCATCACATCTCCACCACAGCATGATAACCAGAAAACAAGAATCACAGCGCTGTCTCTCTGCCTCTCCTGTTTATTTGTCATTATTTAGTTCTTAAGAGTTTCTAACTAAACACAGAGCTGGAAGTTTTCTTACAAACACCCATTACAATTTTCCACACCCTACTTCTCCAGAGTTTTTCAAACAATCCCCATCCCTCCTGCAGATAAGAAACCTATAAAGATCTCTTTGACATTCATTTCTCTTGCTCTCTTCAGAAGCACATTTTCAGTCACATTTTAAAATGTCACTAAGGTTCTAAGAAATAAAATATTTTGTTAAAAAATTAAAGTGTTTCGTTTCAAATATGGCATTAATTTTACAATGCGCATATTAGGTCAAACAGGAAGAACAAAAGCCTATTTCCCCAAAACAGAGGCCACAAGAGTGTGTACCTGGGCCACTCTCAATACAAAAAAAATGCTTCTGACCAGCCTTAATTATTATACCTGCCATCCCAGAGCGCCAGCCACCCATATGGCTTGCAGTGGCTTAAAAGGAAAAATGGAAGCAAATCATTAAAGAGAATGCTGCAAGATGTGTCTATGAACAGGACTGCAAAAATCCGCAAGGCAAGGGATGTGTGGCCTCACATCAGCCGTTCCAGGCAATGCCCGGCCTCATGCTGTAAGGAAGTCTCCATTTCTGAAAGCAGTTAGCTCACACTCGTTTCGAGTTTGTCTTCCTCTGTGCACTTCTAGCTTTGATGTTCTTCTTAGGGCTGGCGGGTTTGGGAGCAGGTGGCTTCCCCTTCGGTTTGGGAGGGTTACTACGACTGGTGCGTCCAGCTGTCCGCTTCTTGTCCTGAACTGTTCTCCGCTGTTCCTGAAGTCTCTCTTCCCACTGCTGGGAGGCAATTTGTAAACATGGCCATCAGATACAGCTCACATCTTTGTGTGGTAAAGTAACACCAGACATTGTCCATGGAATTTGAAACATCAGTGCAATTTTTTTGTATGTAATATCTCAAGGACTCCAATTATAACTACCTTATGTTGAGCACTTAGCATGTACCTGGGGTGAACTGGAAAGTGCTCAATACACAATTAAGTTGCCACAGGAGTTCATTTATTTCAAGCTCACAAAAGCTATTATAAATGTCACAACCAGTCAACAAGCATGGAGAGGTTATTTGTAGAAGGCCATATAGCTGCTAAGTATCTCAACAGGATTCAAATCCATCAATGTCTCTAGAGCTCCTCTCCCCTGCCCTGAAATTTTTACCATCAGCCCTATAATGCAACATTCCTACTCTGCAAATCCTTCAAAAAAAGATTTGATAAGGCTAAAAGAAACTTATGCAACCTCATTAGCAAGTCAGATGATTCTTAATATACTCACATCCAAATGAAAATGGAAAGCCTGAGTACATCTAGTACAATAAGGATCCCCAACCTCGTTGGCACGAGGGACCAGTTTCACGGAAGATGATTTTTCCCCACATTGGTGTGGTGGTGACAAAGGATGGTTCCAGGCTGGTTGAAAGGATTCTAGCCCTCACACATACTGTTCACAGTCGGCTTTGCTCTCCTGGGAGAATCTGATGCTTTGGATCAGGCCGTGATATCAGTGAAATGCAAATGAAGCTTCACTTGCTGAACTTCTGCTCAATTCCTGCTGTGGGGCTGGTTCCTACCAGGCCATGGACAGGTATTGGTCCTGGCCAGTGGGCTGGAGACTCCTGCAGTACACTGCCTCTACCTATGCACTGGGGATACCTTCCAGGATCCGCCCAGCACGTGGTGGAAACCATGAAATAGTTCTAAACTCCATACATACTATGTAATTTGCCTGTGCACACATATCTATGATAAAGTTTAATTAATAGACTAAAAAATAACAGTAAAAATTTAAAAATCATAACAACATATTAAAATAAAATTTAAATCAACATGGCCTCACTCTTGTAAAATACCTCAGTTTTGCACTATGGTTTTGGACCATGACTGACCACAGTCTACAAACTGACATGAAACTACGGATAAGGGGGCTTACTGTGAGCTACTAAAGTGCTGAGCTACACAGGCTGTTAGGAAATGAATCATTCTGGATGACCAAGTTTCCCTGAAACCAAAAGATGTACTCTTTATATTGCTCATGTAAGACACCACTGAAAATGAGTCCACTTGGACAGAAATTGTTTATGCTACCACATACATGATCCTTCTCTGCTAGGGTCTGTTTCATTTGGCAAAGCATTTGAGCAGCATCACAGGCTAGGCGGAGTTCTTGGTACCAGAAATGCAATAAAAAAGGAAAACACTGTTCCTCCCCTCTTAGGGAATATTCTAGTCTATTCTCAAATAATAAATTTATTAATGTATGTTGCTACTGTATGGTGATATTTTTTTCAAATTCTTACTGAAGTGTACAGGAATATTTGTTGCCAAAGTGAATGGCCCAGAGATCTGTGATTTCTGAAGCTTTGTTTTCCACAGCAATCACAGGTCCTTCTGGTCAACCTACCTTCCATGGATGTTACTAATCGACTACATGCTTGGAAACCAGATAACCAAGTCTCCTAGAATTTTCTAGGTGTATGAGTAGTGAGTAGTAGCAATACTACTCACACGCTTGAGGATATTTTGAGCTTTCTGCCATGTGTTTTGGCTCAGAATTAGCACATAGTGTTTGGTTCCCTTACGTAGACATGCTCTGGGTGAACAATGCCACAGTATTAATGCATTCTCTCTAAATCAATTATTAACATACACTCCTTCCTTGTCCCACTCTTTTTATTCACACAAACTAGAGAACACAAGCAGGAGCAATTCCTTTTCCTAAAACATAAATTCTCTTTAGTATGTTTAAGCTTCTTTTCAGGAGAAAGAGTTATTTTAAATGTTTCAAACCAAGTACTTGATATCTTTAGCTCAGGTGCGATTTCTCATTTTGGGAAAAAAAAAATATTCTACGTCCTCTAATTCAATTGTCAATATCTCTATGATGCTGTCAGTAAAATAATTTAGCCAAAAAACAATTACTTTTTGCATATGATTTTTGATAGACGTCTTACCTTATTTTAAGTATGGAGAAAGATTTTTCCATAGGTAGCAAGGGTATAAATTTTAGGACGAGGTATCTGGATATTTGCATATCTTTCATATACAGTATCTGTTAGTTTTAGGTTCAGTGGATATTCTGCTAACATATCTTATTACAATTAAAACAATGGTAATAAATAACCTTTTAATCTGGAAAAAATAGTACATTAGAAATGAATACAACTAAATTAACTGAATCCAAATGATAGATTTCTGATAAAACTGCTAATAAGAATAGCTAAACTTCTTAACTACTTATTCAAAAGACAAAGATTGTTGCTACTGCTGGCTTTCATGGGCGCTTACAGATGAGTCAACGTGAGAAACTCCCAAACTGCACAGAATTTCCTTACATGTATTAATTTCCATATTCATGGTCCCAATTATACTTACTATGGATCTTTTACTAAGTTGATCCCTCCATTTTTCTACTAAGCAATTTTCAAGAAGCATCATCCTAAAAAAAAAGGTAATTTATCTTAGAAAAAGTAGCTTTTGACTGCAAAAGTAAAACGTTAAAAGATAAAAAAATCTTAAAAACATTATTCAATAACCCTTATCTCCATAATCCACATAACTTAAATGTGTATACTATTTGTATTTCCTTATAATCTCCCTTGTCCAAGTACATATATGGACACACAGGTATACATAATCACACTAAATATTTAAGGCATCCCACACCTTTCCTTTCCTCATGGTACACATTCACTGATATAATGATCAAAGCTCAAACATTAACTTTAAACAATATATTATAACTATGAATATCTACTTAATTACTTGCTTCTGTTGAATCCTGATTTGTGTTTATCTGTCATTATCAGTGCTGTTGAATAGCCTTGTAAAAAGTAATGAGTAATGATCTATTATTTCCTTGGGACAAATTTCTAAAAGAACATTTAGGTCAAAGAATATTTTTAAAAAGATTTTCAGTACACAGCGCCAATCTGTTTTCAAAATGGCCATTCTTTCATCCAATTTACTAACAGTGTTAGGTAGAAATAGTCATTTTATTTGGCTTTTGAAATGAAGGAAGGACATTCCTTAACATTATTTGAATTTTTTTGGAAACTAAATGGATTTATGCATACATATTTCCATATTCTAATACTGGTTTTCAATTAACTCTTTTTAGAATAGTGTCATCAATTCTTTGTCACATCACCTCAAGATTTTTTTCAACTTTTATTAACCTATTTGCATTTGTGATTTTTATGGATATAATACTATGTGGTTAAGTACGTATGCTGCTATGTCCCTTCTAAGTCACATATTACTTTTATATTTACAAACTGTTTTGTTTTTCAAAAGCAGAGTATAGTCACTTAATTGTAACCTCTTTAAGTTTTAAAATATTTGCTAAATTTAACCTCCTTGAAATGTATTTTATAGTTCAGTATAAAGTGAAAAAAAACATACTTTTCTTCCCCCAAACAAGTATATTTGTAACATGAACTAACGTTCTTTTTCTGTTGATTTGGCATATTTCTTTTACGATAAAACATCTACTATGCACGGCCTTCTGTTCCGATAATTCTTGCACTGTTTTATCGTTTACTCTGAACCACTTGGTTTTAACAAATGTTAAAATAGCATTGTGTTTTAACCCCTTTGTGAGTCCCATGATGCATATCTCTTCTAATTTTTGCAAAATCTCCTTTGCATGTCCTTATTTCCCCCAATTATCATCAGTATCTTTTGTGAAGACATAAATCCCAGTAACCCAAAAACATTTGTGCTAGACTGGATCTATGATCCACTCATCTGTCCAAACGGAATTTAATGACTAGCAACCTGCTGTCTCCACTTCCCCAAGCACTGCAGGACACAGAACTAGCCCAGAGCCATGAATCGCCTCTTAACAGAGACAAGATATAATAAGTAGGATGGCTTGGAAGTCAAGAACACAAGGCAGCCTGTGAGGAAGTATACAAGCATGGATGAAATACATAAGAAGCTGCCAAGCTGAGCATGGTGGTGCACACTTGTAATGCCAGCATTTGGAAGGCTGAGACAGGATGGATCACTGCAATTTTGAGGCCAGCTCGGGCTCTACAGTGAGTTCAAGGCCAACATGAACTGCACACCAAGACCCTGTCTCAGAAAAAACAAAAGCAAACAAACAAAAAAAAAAAACTGTCCCACTGAGGTCAATTTTAAAAGATATTTTTGTTTTCTTTTTGGAGGAATGCAGTCTTGGCCTGCACCCAAAGCAAACACATAAGCGCACCTAGCAAAAAAATAAAAAAGATGACTTGTTAGATACAAATGCATGATTTTCCTAGGGAAGTATATTGTAGTAAGTGATGCGACCCGTCCTGGAGCACAGGCAGAAGAGTTTGACTTTGTTAAAAAGAATACATTGACAATATGAAAGAATGCTCTGGAAAAGGATATGGAGGCAAAAATTCCCAGCTGGAGAGTCTGCGTGAATACGGAAGTGTGCTCATTTGTTTTTATTTTGACTGGTAATGACTTGAATTGATAGGCACACATTCTGAGATTCAGAAGTCACCTTATCTTGTGAATGTGTGCATGTGTGTGTGTGTGTGTGTGTGTGCACAGCGTCCTATCAAACACTGTCAAATGCACATTGGGAAAGCATGTGCCACTGTCCTCTCCTCTCTGAAAGATGCATAGCTCACCTGTAAGTTATTAAACCGATCTTTATAAATTCAGTACCTTTCACACTAACTTTGTTTAAATAATTTTTAAAGAAGTGTTCTTACTCAAAATAACTGACTTTCCTATAGATTCTTGAAATCAATGAATCCGGAAATTGATTTTAAAAGACTGCATGCAAATTCTTCTTTCCTTTTTTTGAATTCCATAAGAATTGATACTTAGCATATAAAACATCCTACTAAAACTACTTATTTGGAAAGAATGACCAAGGCCATTTTGGCCTGTGTGTGTGCGTGAGTGCGCTCATCCGGGTGTGTTTTAACTGTAGCTCCTAGGTGAGCTCTGTGCTGTGTGAGCTGCATGCAGATCCCTGTGTCCCCGGAGCTCACCTTGCACGCCACTCGTAACACATGATGAGGACGTCTTGATGGGGCAGGATGTGAGGACACTGGCAGGAAGAATTCGTGATGAGCGGGACTTGGGTTCGAGGGATAGGGGACGAGGACTTGAAGATCTCTTTGACATCCACCACGGTTGTGACTTCATTACAGCCGCTCCTCTGCACGGCTTTTATTTTAGCATGAATAACTACAATTTAAAAAGCCAGATAAGTGTTGTTTAGAGCCTTTGGGGAAAAAACTAAGACAGGTATATTGGAGCCAAATCTTGAGCTGCTATTAAAGAATCACTGCTGTAATTATGGTCATGTCCAAGCAACCCCAATGCAGGCAAAAAGCCCACATAGTCATATGCTAAATGCAAAACATCCCATATTGTTACCACCGTCTCAGAAGTTCTAAATCACACTACAAGATGGAAAAGCTCTGTCCTGAGGTCAGCAAAATTTCAGAGAAACATTTACTTATTTCTCTGTTCCCTTACGACGATCTGCAGTGAATATCACCTATGCTCAGATTCTGAAGTCACTGCAAAGTTTGTATTCCCTCAGTCACCCCTCTAATGCTTGACCTTATTCTGCTAACAGAAAATGTTATTAGAGTCATAACATTTTCTAACTGCAAAGAATCTCTGGGGATTGCTGTTCTCAATCCTTTAATTTCCCAGACTGACAGAGGAAGGCCTGGGGTGAGCTGTTATTACAGATGGCTGTTCCTTGTCATTGTCTTTGATCAGGTTTTAAATCCTGGCCTCTCTGGCTCCTTGCTATTATTTCTGCCTCCCATGGACTTGTCATTAGCCTAATATGGATCTGTGTTGGATTCTATCCTAAAGTTGCCTTATGGAGGAGCCAAAAGCGCTTGAACAGAAAAATGTTTTATTTTCAATGTTGCTGCAAGGCCGTGATGCCCCAGAGACTAGCTTGGCAGAGAAACTGCTAACATCCATCTAAGGCTGGGTCAGAGTGGATGAGGGACTACGTAGCCCTGACTATGACAATATCCACACAGGACAGGTTTCAAGATAAAAGCTACTAGAAAAGATCATGTACTTATTTTGTTGTTGAATTATCCACAATGGCTCTTTGGGATTTTCCAAACTGATAGTCTCAATACAGGTTCTTTTTTCATATTTTTGTACTGTTGTGACCTTCCTACTATCATATGTGATATATAACCCAGATTTTCTTACTGATATAAAATTTTGCTTTGAAATACAAAAGCTAAGCTAGTAAATACACTGAATACTTTTCTCCAAAATACTTTTCTGTTATTTCTGCAGAAATAATTGGGGTTTTTTTGTTTGTATGTTTATCTGTTTGTATTGAGACAGAGTCTCGCTCTGCATTCAGGCTGGCCTTGAGCTCAGTTTGTAGCTCAGGCTGGTCTCAAGCTGGCAATGATCCTCCTGCTTCAGCCTCCCAAGTGCTACGATTACAGGCATGTGCCACCACGCCAGGCTGCAGAAATCACTGGGATAATGCATTAAAATATAAAATAGCCCCAGTAGAATAAAAAAATTTAAAGAATATATTTTTAGTTAAATAGTACCTTCAAAGGACGACAGTAGAATTAAAAATAATGAAAACATTTAAAATATCGTAATTAACTTTTTCTTTGAAGAAAATGCTAAACAGCCCTTTTAAATAAGAGAGAACACTTCTTTTGATACCGCAGCCATAGATTTTGTGATTAACATATTAACTCATAATTTCTTGAGGGTGTTAAATATTTGTAACTATTTATAAGTAAAAGATATATAGGCTGATCTTAATTCCCTGAGCCTTAGATCATCAAATCCCTAGACCTCCAGCCACAGGAGGATGCTAAAAGAAGAATAATGGAATATGACTTTACTAATAGTATTTTTAAGATGCTTAGAGCAAGATGTTAAATTTCAAATCTGATCCAAGTAACAGCTGTCACTCAGGTCATTTACTTTGGTTTCCCACTCAACTTAACTCAGAAAAGCAAGCTCTCTTATAATTATTATTGTTCCACCCAAAGGCTGCATAATTAGTTAGAAAGTCATCAGCCGTATTTATTGCATCTAGCAGACCGTGTGTCAAGTCCCCAGAGTGAACTGCTGGGTGCAAGGACTCACCGTAGCTGTAGTTCTTGCTCAGGTATGTTGCCAAAGTTGGCTTCACTTTCTTACACTTGCACCGATCTAAAAAAAAAAAAAACAAAAACGCCAAAGGTTGGTAAGAAGTTGGAAAGGAGCACAGTGTGGGCTCGGGTAGGCATAGAAGGGATGAAGGCGAACTGACCTGGGCTGAGGCGTTTGCAGTCTGCATCCAGGGGCCTCTCCTGCACCATCATATCTGGGGTGACATCCAGCCACTTTGCATCTGAAACACACAACACCAAGTGGGTCAGTCAACAAATGGGGCTCTCACTCAACTGCAGTAAGAAACCATCTGATGATTGTACTAAAGGTAATAGGAAAGAGTAAAGAAAGCATTGACGGTCAGCTACGTTCAGAAGACACTTCCAGCTAAGGAAAGAAGTCCTTCGGGTTACACTTTACCTCCCCAAGCACAAATTCATTCAAGGCAATGCAAATCTATTCAACCCTCCTGAATAAATTACATTGCTCTCTCCCAAAGCTATGTTAAAATATTGATTTTCCATGTGATAGCATAAATTTTTATTTCACCTTGTTCAATTTTTTGACAGAGTCTCGCTGTGTAGTTCAGGCTTGCCTTGAACTCACTATGTAATCCTGACTGGCCTCCAACTCGTGGCAATTCTCCTGCCTCAGCCTCCTGAGTGCGGCTCTCCCTCTGACAGTTTAATCAAAACAATCAGAATATTTCTAAATCCCTGCTCCACATTTTGCAAGGCAAAAACAATTTATAGCTGCTGAACTGACACCAAGCACTACTGGGTGTGGTGGCACAAAGCTGTAACCTCAGCACCCTGGAAGGTTAAAGCAGAAGGATCGCAAGTTCCAGCCCAGCTTGGACAACTTAGTGAGATCCTGTCTCAAAAAAAAAAAAAAAAAAAAAAAAAAAAAAAATTAAAAAAGAGAGAGAGAGAGTGTGTGTGTGTGTGTGTGTGTGTAAAGTGTAAGGATGTAGCTCAGTGGGAAGTTCCTGGATTCAATCTCCAGCGCTGAAAAATAACTTAAGCAACAAATACACGTTTCTAAACTCAGAATTAGAGAAGAATTTGAATTTGCCTCTCCACTTAACTGCTTCTTGTTCACGTTTAGGGCTCTGCTTAGCGGTCATGTATTGGCATAACATCCTCTCTAGCAGGGAACAACCTGTCTTAGAGAAAGCTTGGATAAAAAAAATGCAGAACTATTCTAAGGTTTCATTTCAAGAAGTGAGTTTAATCCTGCCTCATCCAACAAAAGCAGCGAAATGGCCAAAGAGGAAGGAGGGAGGTAAAGAGGCCGAGATCAGATTAGCTAAAATGCCACAGCCCTTGGCTGCCCTTAGTACCCAGGAAACAGAGGCCCCGTTTCCCAGGACTGCTGCATCTACAAACCTCACTCCCATTGGGGTAGGGAGGGGAGGGCACGACTGCTCTTACAGATCTTTCAAGAAGGAGCAACTAGACGATTCACCCGTGCCTGGTGAATTATGAATTAAACAAGTCAATGCATGCACGCAACAGGCTTAACGCTACACACACACACACACACACACACACACACACAATGTAGTATCTGGTATTATTCTTTTGTAAATAAAAACATTGCTAATGGCTCCCTGGCAACCAATATTTATTTATTTATTTATTTCTGAGGATGGATCCAGCCTCTTGGCACTGAGTTACATCTCCATCTCTATATTAAATTTAAAGACAGGGTCTCGCTAATTTGATAAATTGCCCAGGTTGGGCTCTAAGCTTCTCTTGCCTCAGCCTCCCGGAGTGCTGGGCATAAGCAGTTTATTTTCCCCTTTCATAGAGTATCCTGCAGGTCCTTACCGCTCAAAAGTCCCCACCTCTTCCCACCTCCTCCAAACCTAGAAGTGAGCCACGCCCAAGGGGCTCTCAGGTGGCAGCCCCAGGCCGGGACAGCACCTCCAGCTGCCCTCCGGTGCCTCACCCTCCGGGAGGTCCGTGACGATGGCCTCGGGCGATATGCACACGCCGCGGTCGTAGACGGGCAGCTCGTCGCAGGCTAGGCTCTCCGGCCAGCTGTGGTTGTAGCGATTCATGAGCGGTTCGCAGCCGTCGCGCGCGCGCTGGCACACGGATTTGCAAGGTTTGATCGGGTCGTGCAGGAACTCTAGCGCGCAGATGGGCGCGTACATGGCGCAGAGGAAGAAGCGCAGCACAGCGCTGCAGTTGGCGTCCACCAACTCCTCGTATTGCTCGATGGCCAGCACAGCGTTCTCCTGCGTGCTGTGGTGCAGGTGGTTGGGCATCCGCGTGAGGTTCCAGGGCATCGAGCTGCACATGGGGATGCGCACCGCCTCGCAGGGCGCGCCGCGCACGCCTGGCGCCAGGCGCAACCAGAGGAGCAGCGCGGCGAGCACGCAAGGGACCATGGCGCTGCTTTCACGCTCCGTGGCCCGCCGGACCTCTACAACCGAGCCTCCCGAGAGGTGCAGGAGGATCCGGAGCAAGTCCTCGGGGTCGCCGGAGAGGTCCCCGTCCCACTTCTGCAGAGATCTGCCGTCGGGAGCACGGTGCGCTCGGCCTCGGGGGCGCGCACCGCCCGGGCAGCTCGGAGCGCGGTCGGCTCGGCCATGGCGCGACCTATTTATCCCTAGCTCCCCTGACGTGGGCCGCGCGCTCCCCGGCCTCTGGCTCCCCTCTGCCCCACCCCCGACCCCTGTGTGCAGCAGCGCTGACATCATCTCCTCTTGGCTTTGCATAGCCCCTAAGTCCCTCCTTCTTTTCTTGGGATCAAGATAAAAAGAGCATCTGGCTAGTCTAGCTGGGCAAGGTACTGAAGGGTGCAGGAGAGAAATGCCAGAGAAAGCAAAGCGCGCTTGGCCCCACGGCCCCGGATTCTCCCTTAAGGAGAGGGGTGGGGCACAGCCGCTCTCTAATCCGGAGACCTGTTTGCTTTGTCCAGTAGGGGGCGAGAGACGCGCTGTGCAGGGACACTGTAGGGGAGATAGCAGACAACTTTCCTACTGAGGCACTCTATGTAAACCACCCCACGCGCCCTGGTTCTGTGAAGCTTGTTTTTGTTTTGTTGTGGTGACGGTAGTGGTAGTGGACATTCGCTGTGGCTTAGATTTTTCCAGAACTGCACTTGGATTGTGTCTGCTCCAATATTTAAACAGTACGGTTTAGAGCCACCATGGGGTCTTCTAGTTTGACCGCGGTCTTCTGTAAGCAACCTTCATGTCAAATGACTTTCATTGGCACAGCCTAATATTTTAGGCGGGGAGATCACTCCGAGGGGCCCTTTACTACTGAGCTGCATCCCAAGCCCTATGTATTTATTTATTTATTTATTTATTTTTCCTTTTGAGACAGTCTCTCACTAAATTGTCTAGGATGACCTTGAACTTGGCCGTCTTTTGGCTTCTGCCTGTCAAGTACCTGGAAACCCAAATGCTGATCTCTGATGTGCTTGGGAACAGTTACTTGAATAGGAATCTATGTTTCGTGGGAAGAGAGTATTTTGTTTTTTTAATTTTCTCTTCTATCTTGTTTGCATTAAGAAGAGGTAAGACCAACACCTGGACCCACCCATTACCCACAGAAAAGGGAAGCTTACTTGTAGCTAGCCTGCACCAGTTTGTATGCTTTGGCCATAAGACTTTCGGTGTATATTTGCTATGAGCATTAACAATTGAAAATGTGTTCTCTGAATAACAATCTTTAAAACTACAGTTCTTTTTGAAATCTGAATTTGAGGCAGACTGCTTTTCTTGTTTTTGTTTTTCTCTCCAAGCTGAGGCCCACAAAGTTAGTTTAGTTTGACCTTGACCAAGACAGAGGACTAAAATAGCTGAAAAAATAAGTATTTCTGATATTTACTGGACCTCTGCAGTGGCCCAAACTTGGTGCTAAGCACTTCAAATGCATTTTTCTTTTAAGGAACTTGAGTTAAACTAGATAAGTTAAAAGGATCAATAAGACACACATATTTCAGGATTCACCAGTGGAGTTCTGACCACTGACAACAGCCCAGGCCAGTGGAGAGAGATTCTGGTTTCCTCTAGAACGGATTTAAAGCTGCAAAGATACCAAATCAGGCTAGGAAACTATCAAGCAAGCAGAGTGATACAGATGAAATGTATCAGGTCATTTCCAGCAGGGAAATCCCAGGAGTCTAAACTCTTAGCTTCCTGACAAAGACTTTCAACATGAGTTCTTAACAGGGGAGCTAGAGAAGAGTGGACACCTCCCCACCCTTTTCTTAGGAGTAGTTCTGAGGAGGGTGAGCTTGGAAGGAGCTCACACTCCAACAGCCAGCTTGGATTTCTGCCTTTATGTCAGTCCCCAAGTCCCCAGGCTTAGGGCCCTGTCTGGTGTCCCCTGCTTGCATGTCTTCTACTTACTTGAGAGTGGAGCCTTTCTTTGAAAGACTCTTTCTTTACTCCATCAGCCCATGCTATTACTGCATTTCCCTGAAAATAACACCTGGCTGGAAAATACTCAGCCTTACAAACAAAAGGTCAAAAATGCCAGCTCCATCTGGCCTGTCTTCATCTCACCAGCCTTCAGAGTAGCCATGAGAGCATTGATAACAGGAAAGGCTAGGATGGGCTGATTGGGGTGGGCGTTTTTCATCTCTAGTCTTCAAGGCTGATCATTCCCCGGCTTGGTCTTATTTTGGGGGAAGAGGACAAGTCTCTCGTCTTTCTGCAGAACTGGGAACAGCAAGCTGAGGACACATCAAGGGATTTTGCCACCTGCCCTTTCTCATCCTGACTCCTCTGGGGACTGTGATCCCAGAAGAACGTACTGTGGCACTCAGTCCACTACTCTAAGCTTAGCAAGCTCCTTCCTCATGGGGCTTTCTCTCCAGCCACCTCTTCAGGCTCCCAAGTGCCTGCTTATCTGCCCATCTCTTACATACCTCCTGTTCCCTCGGGTTCCATCTTCAGGCTCTTCTAACTCACTGCTGCTTCAGGTTTTCTCATTTTTGACCTGGAGGACTGGAAAATTCATTACCCAGTTCCCCTGGAGGCTGGTCAGCCACTGCCCCAAGTGCCTCTTGGACTTCAAGTCCTGCCTATGTGCCCATGGTTTCTAAAGAGTAGAATCTTGTTGCTTTCTGGAAGTGCTTTCTACCTGTCTCCTGGGTATGTCCTCCTGTCCTGACTGTCCCACTCGAATCTAAAGCCAGCCAGATCTAACTGGAATTGATCTTCTTTCTCTACTAGCACTGAGCCCCAGTGACCCAAGCTAGAAATGCTTATCACTGATTGACTGACTGACTGATAGATTGATTAATTGATTAACAGTGATACAGGAGAATGAAACTCCCAACCTACTATGTCTGTGTTTTCTCTAAAATCGAAGAATGAATTATAGGAACAGTGGAGGTTAAGAGTAGAATATATTTATTCAGAGAAAAAAAGCTTCTGTCTGAGAGAGAGGCAGAAGTGAGTTGTCAAGGACTGTGTCTTTTCTGGGGACTTTTGTTGAATAAAACCATGGGGTGAGACAGGTTCAAGCTGGGGAAAACTGTGAACTCACAAAGCAGATGGGCATAATAAAGTGGGACAGAACTATGGTTAGCCAATAAGATTAACAGTTCAGGTACAATTGATTAAATTGGGGAAGTGAGTCAAGTAGAAAGGGAACATTCTTAGGGAACAGTGACTCTTTCCTTAGGGGGTTGGGATGGAGTCTCCTGTCTTCCTCAGGGTGATAGGGAGCTATTTAGAATAATCTTTTGTCTGGAGGCCTGGCCCACAGCAGGAGGAGCCTGTCTCCCCTAGAGCTGCAAAATATCTGGGCTTCTGCATTGGCTTCTTGGAGGACGTAGCCAACTCATTGCTTATAGTATTTCTAACTAACTCAGCTACCTGTAACAACAGGAGGCTACTGGGGATTAAGCCAGTGCTTACACACTGAGCTACATCTCCTGCCCATTTTATTTTTTATTGTGAGGCAAGTTTTCCCTAAATTGCTAAATTGCTTATACTGGGCTCAAACTTGTGATCCTCCCAAAGTCCTGGAGTGACCTGCATGCACCACATACACCCAGCTCTCTCTGAATCTAACTCCTTCTCTATTATGATTCTTAACTCTGTCCTTCCTTCTCCATTTCTCCGACCAGTGCCTTAGCACAGCCTGGATTTCTTGCCTGGATGAAAACACTCTCCTGCGTGGTCTTCCATCTTCTCTCCAGTCCAATGCACTCACCAGGCTGATGTCTCAATGCTTCCTTAGCTAAGTACATACCTGACATCCCTCTCCAGCTCTAAATCTATCAGTGACGCTCACCTTCTGCAATATTAACAGCAAAAATCCCTAAGATGGATTTCAAGGTTCCAAGCAAATGAATGATCTGGCTCCAGAGTACTCCTGCTTTGTGCCTGAACCCCACCCCTGGGTCCTTTGTGGTTTATTCCAAGACCTTTATTCCAAAATGTTCTCCCCCGACTCCTTCAACCCTCACATCAAGTGCTTATAAAGAAGTTATAAGGGCTGGGGATTTAGCTCAGTGGTTCAAGTGCTTGCCTGGTAAGTGCAAAGTCTTGAGTTCAATCCCCAGTACAAAAAAAAAAAAAAAAAAAAAAAAAAAAAAAAGCTATGAATATGGATAGCAAGGTCTTTTTAAAATTGCTACCTTTTTTAAAAATTACATATTATCGATTGGAACATTACTTAAATATAAACACAGTTAACTTTGTTTGTTTTTCTGCATTGGAGATCAAATTCAGGATCTTCACGCTGAGCTGCATCCCCAGCCCTTTTTATTTCTCTACTTGAGATAAGGTCTTCATCTGTTGCTAAACTGCCCGGGCTGCTTTTGAATTCTTGATCCTAATCTTCCCGCCACACCTCCCAGAGGGCTGGGATTACAGACATGCACCCCCCCTCCCCGCCCCCGCCCAGCCTGCCCAGTGAACTGCTCTTTAAAATGCAGAGCCCTCAGGCACAGCAACCTCTAGTGCAGAGACCTTGCCAGTTGGTGGGGGAGGGGAGCAGTCTCGCTTAAAACGAAGTTTCTGAATCCTAGGCCTGTTGCAAAAGCCATAACGAGTAAGCATCCTTTCTTCCAGAAGGGACGAGTCTTTTTTTGCAGTTTGGAGAAAGTTTGCAGTTTTTCCAAGGGGCAAGTTACATTGCAGAGCAGCAGCTGTGCTTTTATCACCATGACCTTGAAATCGCCCCCATCCCTTACGTGGAGGAAAATATTCCCTCGAAGTGCTTTCCTGCTTGCTGCCCCCTTAAATCGCTGTGCCCTCCAGGATGTAGGTGGCATAGCCGCCACTGCGTTTCCTGTTGGCAGCAGTGAGCCCAGGAAGCGGCCGCTGCAGGCGGAGGAGGCCGAGGCAGGAGCAGCTGCTCGCTGCTGTCCTCAGGCTTCGCTCCTCGGCGGATCCAGCGCGTCTGGATTTCAGCAGCCTCAGAGACTCCGGGGTGGGGACAACTCCGGCTGGGTCTCAGCACCGGGCCTCCCGCTCTCCGCCCGCCCCCGAGATGCCAGGTCGCGTCCCACCCCGTGGGGCCCCGCGTGCTGTGGGTGCCTGGCTCTGGGTCTGCGCGCTGGGCGGGCTGTGCGCGCTGGGCACGGCGGGGTTCCCGGGGACGCCGCGCCCCTGCCAGGCCCCGCAGCAGTGGGAGGGACGCCAGGTCGTGTACCAGCAGAGCAGTGGGCACAACAGCCGGGCGCTGCTGTCCTATGACGGCCCCAACCAGCGCGTGAGGGTGCTGGACGAGAGGAAGGCGCTGATCCCCTGCAAGAGGTACGCGGGGACCCCAGAGCTGGTGCGGGAGGGGCTCTGGGGAGCGCCTGGTGCCGGGCTGGGCCTGCGGTGCCAAGCGAGGAGGAGGCTGGTGAAGCAGGACAGGCAAGCTCAGGACTGATGGACCGAACTGGGAGGAGACCCCGGCTGACGCTAAATTCAAGTTCAAGCCCACTTGCTGCTGAGTCAGGCTGGTCGCTGGAGTATGCCAGCTCTGGGCCTGTTTGTGCCTTATTGCAGCCATCACCAGGGACACAGGCCAAACAGATATATTAATTAATATAATATATTAATATAAGACATTAATATAGTAATTAAAATATATTACATTTAAAAGGAATATTGTAAAAAAATATTTACATGGAAAGGCAATGTCTGGAGAGCTGATTTTTAAAAAGTTAGCCACTTCACCCTATTGCAACTATTAAAATTTTGGTTTATAGTCCTATAAGTTTTTTTTTAAAGCTAGTTTATAGACCGTCAGGAACCATATACTATCATGCATTTATTTTTATTAGTTAACCTCCTCCCTCACATTTTCTTATTTGTCATTTTTTTGTTGACCCCTATTTGTTTTTAATGGCTGCAAAAAACTCCATAGAGGCTGATACTGTCCTGTATACATGATTCTGTTTTTACCATGGTCAGATCACTCCCCTGTCCGCTTACCTTATGACAGAGCATATCCTTCCTGGGATTTCCTCTTGGTTCTGGCCCCTTTAAGGCCTGATTTCTAATTTGGGATCACCACCTGTCTCCCAGCCCTCCTGCGACCAGAAGGTCTCCAGCAGGGTCAGCTGGGCTCTGTGTGGCACCTGCCACTGGAGGAAGTGGGCATGAATCTCCACAAAGGGCCCCCTGAGGGCAATAAGATCAGTGGCAAAAGTGCATTACTTTCTAAACAAAACAAATCTTAAGAAACCCATTTTACCTAAAAGCATTTGGCTTAGGCATATTGGGGAAAGTGCGGAAAGGCTAGAAATTTCCAAGCTGTCTGTTGAGGGTTCAAAACAATGCCTGTGTGAAGTGTGTTTAGTAGCAAGCCTGCTGTATTCCTGGGTTGTATATCTGAGGATCCAATCAACCTTGGGTCAAAAATATTTGGAAAGGGAAGCATCTGAGCAGAACATGGACCAACCTTTTCCTTGTCATCAGTCGTACAGCAGAACATCTATTTACATAGCATTTACATCGCATTAAAGATTAGACACACTGTTGACATACTTCAAACCATATGAGAGGATGGATGTAGTTTATATGCAAATATTATGCCATTTTATATAAGGGACTTGCACATCCAGAGATTTGGGTATCCACGGGGGTTCTGGAGCCAATCTCCTTGGATACCTAGAGACAACTGTATGTGAGTCCTCTGGGAGGCCTCGGGCATCCATCAGTGCTATGGTAGACTCCAAATAAATGCAAGGCCATTCAAGACCTCATGTGAATGTTTTGTGTTGAGTCTTAGAGATCATAAAAATAATAACAGCTGACACTTGAGTGATATAAATAAGACACGATGTTCACTTTATAAATGTGATTTAATTTAAATCTTTCAACAGTTTAACAGTCTTATCATCTCCATTTTACAGAGACTCTAAGGTCCAGAGAGTAAAAAAATTTCTCACTATCAGATAGCTGAGACTGAGATTTGAAAAGCTGAGTGAATTGTTTGTTTGTTTCTGTACTAAAGACTGAACCCATGGCCTTTGCACTGAGTTACATCCCCATCGTAAAATTTTTTTTTTTTTTTTTTTTTTTTTTTTGAGACAGGGTCATGCTAAATTGCCCTGGCTGGTGTTGAACTTAAAATCTTCCCACCTCACCCTCCCAGAGTGCTGGGATTTCAGGCATGCACCTTCCGGCCTGGCTTACTCTGACACTTATGATTTACCAGCTCACATTCATTCTTTCATTCAGCAAGACTTCGCTGTGTATCAGCAGAGTGCGGCCTGGTTTGCTGGGAGGTGGTGGTCTGGGGGTGAAGTCACACAAATGAAAAATTCCTGTGTAGCATGATGAGTTGTGATCTGGGACATGATGAAAACACCCGGGACAGGTGCCTAAGCTAGGTTTCTTGGGTGCAGGTGAGGAGTGATGACCTCAAAGCATCTGTGTATGCTAATGGGGACAGGTATGGAGGAAAATCGGGAACACAGTGTAGTGGTTGTGTTCTACATGTGAGGTGTCCTCAAATGGAAGCTCACGGGGCTGAGTTTACTCCTAGACCTGCATGTCAGTCCCTGTTGGGGGTGAGGTCTAGGGCCTGATACTGAAGGGGTCTAAACAGCAGCTGTGATAAGATTAGGTATAGAACACTGAATGCAGTCTCAAGATGTGGATGCAAAATGGAGCAGAGTTTTTTTTTTTGTGTGTGTGTGTTTTTCCTTTTTATCAGTACCAGGGATTGAACTCACGACTGCCTGCTTACAAGGCAGGTGCTTATGCCGCTGAGCTAAATCCCCAGTCCCCTAGAAGCAGAGTTTTATAAAGACACAGGGGACAGATGGGTAATGGCAGTGGGATGGGGAACATGGATGAATGGATGCAGTGGGGAGGTTTTACTGAAGGATGTGCCAATGATCCAATGTTGGCACGGGTGGGAAGGGAGAGGGAGGAGTCAGGCAGCCTCTGTTTTTAGCCTTGAAGCTAACTGTATCGATGCTGTTGAATGAATGGTTAATCCTTGAGATAGGATCAGGCTTTCAGCACTTTCAATTCTTCAAGGTTATATAAAAACTGATACCACAATGGTGCATTGGTGAGGAGCCCTGGTGTGTGGGTGAGCAGTGGTGTGAAGGTGGGTGAATGTCCAGTGCTCACACCTGATGATACAGTGTGGATAGGAGAGTGATAAAGTCTCATCCCTTCAGACATAGTATTTTTTTTTAAACTTAAGAAATTTGGCTCCAAAGCCAGAAAAACGGTCAGAACCCAGTTTCTTTCTTGCTTTTTTTTTTTTTTTTTTTTTTTTTGTCTTTTTAAAATTTTTATTGGTACTGGGGATCGAACTCAGGACCGCCTGCTTGCAAGGCAGGTGCTTATGCCGCTGAGCTAAATCCCCAGCCCCCCTAGAACCCAGTTTCTGAATGTGGATCATTGAGTAAGTTATTAAAGCTTTCAGAGACTCAGTTTCCCCTCTTACAACATGATACTAGAATAACTAATTTGTTAGGTTACTGTGGGAATTAAATGAGTCCAGAAGTGTAAAGCATATGACCCAGCATTTGATAGCACATTGAAGACACTTAGCCTGGGACCATAGTTGCATCATCTCTACCCCCAGCATTGCCACCATCATCATCCTGGTGAATTTCCAGTGTGCCAGACATTTGCCACCAGTCCTGCAGACTCAGAAACTTGATCTGGCAGGACTTGCAGGGGACTTTCCTCTGGGACTTTGAGCATACAAACTCAAGTGATAAATTGTATTTCATTGAGTTTCGCAGCCCTCATGGGGACCAGGATTCTCAAATCCACAAAACTAGGACATTGTCTCCTATAGTTAAAACTGTATGGGGAGCCAGCTTAAGTCAGGAGATTGTGAATACATTCAGTAGACATCCAGTGCCTGTTCTGGGCACTCTTGACTTCTCCATCATGAAGAAAAGGCCAGCCCAGAACAATGTTTAATGGTAATCAGATGAAGACGAGGTGATGCTCTCATCTTGACAGCTAATTTCATTGTCAGTGGTTCTGTTATTTACACTGTGTTGGTCCAGAATCCTTCCCCTCTGAACAAAGCATGGTGGGCACTGCCCAAGTCTGTATGAGCAAGTCTCCTTCTTCCACAGCTCTGTGATTGCTTAATAGGGTCTTAATGTGTGGGTTACACCTTTAGTGGGGTAATGGCTCAATCTTGTTGATCTGCGTGCGTTTGTCTCGCCTGTTAATGATTCTTCATTACTCTGTCCTCTATTAAGTGCTAGCTTCACAGTTTGGCTTTTAGAAGACAGTCTTATTTCTCTTCTTTCCAAGTTCTTGGCCAGGTTCTATCTTGCTGTCTCATTTCTAGCTGTAAGTCAGATGTAGAAAATAATGTTTGGTGCAAAAATACATTTTAAACTCTAAATGTAGACTTGTTGGAACAAACTCAAAAATATTGTTTTTCAGGTATCAGCATCTGGCCAAGAAAACAGATTTTTTTTTGAGAGAAAATATGGGTAAATTGTCTCTTTGTATTTATTAGTAAGTCGAGAAGTAAGTTTTAGAATTGGATCAACTTCTTAAGAGATTTTCATTCTGTATCCAGAGAGTTACGGAAAATCCCACTGATAGTTACTGTGGGATGACCAGTATTTTCCAGGCTGTCTTTTCTCTGACATGATGGAAAAGATTAAACCACTTTACAAGCATTTGATAAGACCAGCCTGAAAAGAGAATGGGAAATATTAGTAATTGATACTATTTTGCTTTCTGATGCCAGCTGACTTTCCCGGTTCCTTGATTAAATTCACAAGAATTATGCTTGGAAGGAAAAGCGAGCTTATTTTTTTGTATTTCAGTCAATAAGTTGAACTTTATGGGAGGGACAGTGTGGATACTGAATGAGCTCCATGAGACCATGAGTAACGTGTTGCTGCTGACAGAGTGGTGGCCTGGGTGTGGGGCTCCACGGAGCTCTGAATGTGGAGTGGGTGGAGAGGCAGTAAATGAGCACCGTGGGGTCATATCTCAGAAGAGCATTCAGGTACCAGTTCCATGTCCCCTTGGGAATTTTTATTTCTAAACGACGAACAAGAATCATAAATGGGATGGCAAGAGAATTTTCATTCACATTCTGATGAGTTCATGTCTGTCTCAGTTTTCCCAGAGTGCTTTATTTCCTGGAGAACTGAATAGCATTTATTTTCTCGAATTTTCTAGAAAACCACGTGTCTGTCTCCGAGCGAGTGTGGATGCCCGTGGTAGCAATGCCAATGTGGCTTCTAATCTTGGTTTTGCCACAAGAATGCCCTTTGCTTCTCATACCTCACTGTTTTTTTATCTTTCTCACTTAG